TGGGCGTACCGGAAGGAAAAAATTAGGGGGGCGGAAAGAAAATTGCCCGACTTTTCGAATTCTGCCCGACTAGTATCAAAAAATTTTTTCCGGAAAATTATTTTGGCGACCCCCCCCCCCCCGTCGCCAAAAAAATTTCGGTCAGTGTACCATTTTAGGGGTCAAAAAAATTTTCCGGACAACTAATATTTTTCGGAACATAACAGAAATTTTCGAAAAATCACAAAATTGACCAAAAAAATTGACTTAATTTTAGACAAAATTGACAGAATTTGTCCCATTTTTTTTTATTGGAAACCAAAATTGCCCGACTGTTGATCGAATATTGCCCGACTGCCCAAAAAACTGGGGGGGATACCGCCCCCCACCCCCGCCCCCCGCCCGGTACGCCTATGAGAGTAACATCACACAAACATCTTATTCACCTGAGTACATTACATCAACACAGCAGATTTCATGATTATTAGATTTCACTGATATCGAAGGAACTAGACTCAGTTCCGAAATATCGCATATTCGAACCGACCTGACCACGTAGCTCAGTTGGAAGAGCATTGGGCTAGTGTTAAAAGGTCGTAGGTTCAAATCTCGCCGTGGCCAGGCATATTTTTCAAGCCTGCCCGGTGTGGATATACACTCAGAGTGACATCACACAAACATCTTATTCACCTGAGTACATTACACCAACACAGCAGATTTCATGATATTACACTTATTCAAACAGGACATTGTTAGTAGTCAGGCCAGGTGTGATTCTTGATTCTTTAACCAGTAAGTACTTTTTATCACATAATTAATGAGCAATGCACTTCTCCAACGATACTATTCCATTCTTGAGTATTTCATTATATTAGACTCTTCATTTATATAATGCAACATGCCAAGTTGTTTATTGATCCAGAATACAGGACTGTATAATTTTAACTTGAGACTGATTTCTCCATTGTTTCTGGAGGTATTGGCATAATAAAAAGATTATCACATTTACAGTCCCAGGCTAGGTGTATCTGAAAGAAATGTAAAACTAAAGCTATAAAATAGTCAAGTAAAAGTTAAGTAAAAAATTAAACACACACTGGTACAGGTATACTGCTACAGGCTTTTGCTGAATTGCTACAGCAGTACAGGCCTTCCTTATTGAGAAAAATCTTTATTTTATCATTGTATACAAAATAGCATTATGGTTTTAAATTCCCTGGGTATGATAGATTCATAATAATGCATGTATAATAGTATTAAATAAATACTGGGTATGATCAGCTCACAGGATGTTATAGAATTTCTGAAAATCTGCTGCATTTTTAGGGGTACACAATATCTTTTGCGGTATTCTAACTAGACTCAATTAGGATGGAAATTCAGGGCCCAAAGTTCAAAAATTAACCTTTAAACAAAATAATGATGACATGAACAACATAAATTGTAACACATTTATAAAGGCAACCAAGGCAGTGTGCAACAACAACGTTCTTGCTCAAGAATAGCCTATTAAATAAAGCTGAGAGTTATTAAATTACTTTTATATAACAAACAATTAAACGTACTTATATCTTAAGAAGAAATCAGAACATTTTGAAGGAAATAGAAGCCATTTGAGAGAAAATATTTGATCGATGACTCGATGAGTGTTGACATGTGTACAAGCCGGTGTTTCAATCATCTCAAATTACTTGTTAAACGGAAATCACACGTGCACTCAGTATCCTTGTTGTTCACACTAACTGCGCCTAACATATTTTAATGCTTTTGACGGGAAAAATTGCGATTTTATTGATATTTTCAGCAAAAAGTTAGCTCTCCACTCCTCTTGAAAATACTATGGCGCGCGCGAATTCCCGGAGAATGGGTACGAAATAGTTAATTGGAAAATACTGTACTTTTACCGTATTTTCTAATTAACTCAACTCGTGTGCCCAGAACCACTCAAGGATGGCTCTGGGTACGAGATTGTATTCTTAGTTTATAATAATTACATATGTATGCAAATTGTCCCCCCCCCCAACACCCCTTTGCTTCGCGTTCCCTGAAGTTACGCCTGTTGTGCTCTAAATAAAGCTTAACTGTTCTAAATCCGTCATATTTGATAATTGAGTTTTTGGCGGCAATATATTGTGTTCGGCGGTTCTACCTATCAAATATGCTATACATATACTTTGTATCGCTATGTCGTTTAACTCTCAATCTGGGCTTATTTTCCTAACCGATTATAATGATTATCCTGCTGAGTTAATTTCGAGTAACCAAAATTTCCGTTTCTTATATAACAGGTGAAAATCATATCGGTAGTAGTTTTATTCGTCAAAAATATTATGGTCTGCCGATTGAAATGGCAGTCCTGCCGACTGAAGCTTGAAATAGAATTTCTGGGGGGGGGGTCACACCTTCCCCCCACACCCCTCTCACACCCCAGTAGCTCCGGGCCTAAGTCCAAATCTCAATCCAGCTTGCCAAAAAGCATCTATAACTTCACCATTCGTTACATCAACAACACTCTTGCCACACGCAAAAACCTCATAAAATGGTGAATAATGCGGTCAAACTCGGATTGTTCCCTCTGCTTGAACCCTGAAACCCATGTTGTCACGGGATGCCAGTCATACCTTCCATGATTTACTTGGAGACATGACTCCATTCACAATTTTATCGCAAAAATATTCCAACCTAACCATAACTCCACTCTATTTGTTGATCTTCCTGGATACAAGAGCCCATCAATAATAACCGCTGACACTTATATATCGCTCAGATTTGCTTCTTTCGATTTCAAATGATTGTTGGTACATTCTTGAACTCTCTGTCGGATATGAATCCAATCTCCAAAATAACGTTGTTCGCAAAAGGGAAAGATAGAAGGATCTAATTACGGAGCAGAAAAACCATTTCGAAACAGTCAAATTTATTAATTTGTCTATTAGTGCCTTAGGTGTTTTCTCAAAAGAATTTAGCACGTTTATGAACATGTTGAACGAAGTTTGTCTTCATAAAAAACATCAGAACTTTTTTGGTAAGAAAATAATGTCAATCGCTATCAGAACAACGTACTATATATTTTGTTGTAGAAACAAGGATTGGACCGATCCAGACTTGATAAACATTTAAGAATAAGCTTTCTCTCAGTTTTTACTTGTAATATAGTTTATCAATAATTAATAATTCAAGTAGTCAATTATAAATTACCTTAATTAGTTAGATTTATAATTGAATATACATAAAATGTCAAAAAAAAGTTTCCATTATTATTATTATTATTATTATTATTATTATTATTATTATCATTATTATTATTATTATTATTATTATTATTATTATTATTATTATTATTATTATTATTATTATTATTATTATTATTATTATTATTATTATTATTATTATTATTATTATTATTATTATCATTACTACTATTATTATTACAGCAGAAATAGTTTAGCAGCTAAACATTAATTTTCATGTACATTTAATTTATAGATAATAACAATGGCAAGTTCACTAAGTACGGGAAGTTTAACAGGTGACGAGAGAAGATGGATTGTGGTTGGTGTGTGCCTTAACAAAGTTATACTACCAACCTTGCGAAATGTCGTTGCAACTGAACTGCAAAAGTTATATATTCGTTTAAGTAAACCACCTGATGAAATTCACAAGCAAAGTATCGCAACGTATAAGAACACACTACCACCCTCAGCATTTCGACTAAATTATAAAAGCATCAATAACAACGAAAAAAAGCCTGGTCATACTTATGACTTCGCGGTAAAAGATGTATTGTCTTTGGCAAAGTTGTATATGCAACCTCATATGGCAAAATGTACTGGTTTTGATAACACGATGGATATGTCAGCAATTTTGGCAGTGATGTGTAATGCAACGCCATTTTCTTCTGCTGCAGCTGATGCCGAGATAGTACGGAATATCAGGAACAAGTGGGCCCATTGCAACTTTTCAGAATGGACCCAAGCAGTATTCACTGCATCAATACAAGCCTTAATATCATTCATAAAAACGAGTAATTTACCAAAAACTGATGAAAAAGCTGTCTGTGATAATCTAGATGACTGGGAGAAAGAAGGTATCAATTGAATTATTTATAATTTAATGTTAAATAATGGCAGATATAGGTTGGGTGGCAGATGCTAAATTATGTTCATACAAATAGCGTTTTGGTGTTTTGTGGGTCGCGACTCAATCAATATCTTTTCAAAAAATGAGCATCAACCACGTCATTTCAAACGTTGTGAAGTAAATCCAATGAACGCGCGCGCATCCAAGACAAGAGAAATTAATTTTGCACGATATAGCCTGCGTAGCAGGCGGTATTCGTGGGCACGAGAGAATGGGAAACTAGAAATATCGCCTGCCTAAAAAGTACACATTCTGAGTTCTCCCCGGCAGCTGGGTGCCGGAGCATTCTGATTGGTCAGAATGTTGATTTTCAATTTTTGATTGACATGAGTAAAGAATTAGAATAATTAGTGCTAATTTTAGAAGTTACTGTTGCCGTATTTATAATATAAACTATTGTTACTTTCGTAATTGATACCGATATATCGAGTGATGGCATACACTATCCAAAAAATAACGAATGTATTACAGGTAAACTACGTGAAGCGTTCCTCTTTTGAGTTTCTAAATTGATTGCAATTTTCCTCATTACTTTTGCAACTAAAACTCCCTTGCAAATCCCTTGAGGAAATTTGCAATGTTGCTAAAAGCCAATAAAATTTTCCTCAGTTCCTGTTAGAAGTTCTTAACTTCCTGTTACAAGTTCCTAACTTCCTGTTCTGTTCTGCGTGTTGCAATTGGCTAACAAAAATAATCGACCAATAACAACACTCAGAACAGAACAGGAAGGTAGGAAATTAAAACAGGGAGTCAGGAAAATTTAAAATAAAGTTTGGAATATTGCAACAGCCGATAGGAACATTGCAAATTCCCTCAAGGGATTTACAAGGAGTTTTCAAATTTGCAAAGCTAATGAGGAAAATTCCAAATGAGTTACAAAGTCAAAAGAGGAACGCTTCACGTAGTTTACCTGTAATTGAGAATTAAGCGTTGAATTCTTTAATCTTTATCTGGAATCGGAAATCGCTTCGTCTTGAAGAATGAACGAATATCAATCCAACATTTGTTGCTTGATAGATGTGATACTGTGATGAAACTGCAGATTTGAAGATACAGGCTCGTAACTGACACTCTAAGTAGTGTTTTTAATAGCGATTGGAACAAGACTATTACAAAGTTACGTCCGAAGGGGCCGAAGTTATGTTCGGCGAAAGGTATGGCTAGTCTATTTTTTTGTTCGGACAATTGCGTAATTTGATAATACACGAACTCCTTTGACTTCCAAAGCTCATAAATCGCTATAATGTTGACATCGACTAAAACTATCGCTATGAATGAGGACATATTGTTAGACTGAATCGAACGTGGTATTTTTGTCTTCATAGCATTGAATGAACCGAAGATATGAAACGTCAAAGCCGTATATTTGCACTGGTGCAAATACGTGAGTTTGACAAATAATTAAAATAAAACATTAAGATGGGCGGGACCATGCGTTCGGTGGGCGGAACTCAGAATGTGTAGTTTTTGGGCAGGTGGTATTTCTAACTTCTACCGCCTGCTACGCAGGCTATGCACGATAGTACATGGCGTGCTCTTTTTAATGTGCAAAATTAATTTCTCTTGTCTTGGATGCGCGCGCGTTAATTGTATTCACTTCACTACGTTTGAAATGACGTGGTTGATGTGCCGTTCAATTAAATTTCAAATGACGCGAGCCAACAGATCACGACACAATTTCATTGCCCGAGCATGCCCGTTCGCAGGTTAAGGGTGGGCATAGCTTTTGATAAATCAAATTGATTCACGTCGAATTTCCAACGTGAGTTCTACGCATGCTCGGCAATTGTTGCAAAATATAAATAAAGTATAAGTATTTCTCGTCGAAAATGTGATACTTTTTACGAAATCGAATTGAAAATAGCTAAAAATTCTGGGGGAAATATTAACAAAAACTTCGGTTTGATAGGGATACAACTACCTGAATAATAGACAGATTTAGAAAAGACGACGCGACCTCAAAGACGACGTGGATGGCGTCATTTGGCGCCAACTATCGTTAGCTTCTGATTTGCCACGTCGTCTTGGACAATTTCACGACGCGAAAATTCAATTTTCACGTCCTCTCTAGAACGTCACAGATTTATGCTTCTTTTGAAAAAAATATGAGACTATGCATGATAAAAATCATCTTATTTTGTTCCCCAAGTATTGTTTAATGATTCTAGTTAAAGGTTTTTCATTGACAAGGTTGTTTTTCTTGTATTTCGCTAAATTTTGAACGTGTTAATTTTTGACAAATACTTTTGGTCGCCGTAACAAATCAACAAAACTGCAAGCATTGTTAATAACCACTTCAATACCGCTAGTATTTTTCACCAAAACAAACATTTTAGAACAAACTGAAGTGAAGTTATAGTAAAAACTCAATCAATGTTAGTTGCTCTGTCACATCAGTGCGAAAAAGTAGGGGAAGTAAAAAAACGCTTTCCAGCGTGAAAAACTATCTTAAACAGTATTAAATGTTATCAATATAAGCACTGATGCCTTATTTATACTAAACAGTTGACAAACTTGATTGAATAGGCTACAAACTAAAGCATTTAGCTCGTAAACAATACCTGCAGCTATAGTATTTATTCCAAAAAATGCAACACAGTTCACTTTTCAAAATACCGAAATATACGTCTTTTTCTAAAAAAAACTTATTGAATATTCATACTAATTAATCAGGAAACACTTGGCCAGTATTATATAGCCTTTTCTTGCACATAACTTAACAACTGATTGAAAACAATACAGGAATGAGCAGGGAACAAGAAAACAAAAATTTGCTTCGAAAAAGACAAACAAGCCGTCCCAGATTAAAACCCGGAAGTGAACGCGAGGTGTACACGTCATTTTCACGTCGTCTTTGAGGTCGCGTCGTCTTTTCTAAATCTGTCTAATACATGGAGAACTTCGACGTTTCAAGCGAAGGCGCTTCGACTTGTCACTTGTACTGTTAGTGTTTGTATACATCGTACTTGACCTTTAAAGGTGAACTAACACGAAATTTTTTAAACCTGTTTTGACTTTCACTGTATGTAATCATTACAGCTTCAATTAAAAAATGGGCAAAAAGCAACGAAAAACCATATTATAAAGGCATTTTTCTTGGCCTTTGTTGGTTTTAAATCGGTCCGCTTTACGCGCGGTCACGAGCACGTGACAATTTGGCTGTGACGTAAATTTGTTTGCAAACGCATTTGGCAAAGATACAGACAATAAGGTGGCGAATAAGGCAACAAGAAGAGGAGACAGAAATTGTGTAGCTGGGACACCATAAAAAGTTAGTTGCAAGAATACATCGTATACCCCTGGCATAAAGGTGCATGCCTTCCCAAAAGATCAGAAAACAAGCCAGAAATGGGTTCAATTTGTTCGTAAACATCGAGTGGATTTCAAAGAGCCGACAAAACATTCATCTCTGTGTTCCGCGCACTTCGAAGATTTGTGTTATTCCCCTCGCTTTTTAGATGAAAGTTCAGATTATTGAGTCCTTGAACGTGGATCTATTCCGACCAAAGATACATCATTTTTGGAGAATAAAAACAGTGATATTACGCCGAGAGGGAAAAGGAAGGTATATTTTTAAACTTCAACTGTATTTACAAAGCATGCCGTATTTGCATATCGCATATTCGCATATTGCATATCAATGAGGTGGTTCATTATCATATATTTATGAAGCTTGGTTTAATAATATAAGGTTTGCAGTGATATGTTTTGTAAGTAAAAGATATCATTTTTATTCCAATATTCTCAATTTCCCAGATCTTACGTGAAGCTACAAATACCAGCCCATGCAAAGTGGCTAGAACGGCTAGCACGGTAGAAGAAATAATGTCAACTGAAGAGACCGATCAAGACGAAGGGGTTATAACTACTGTAGAGGCACCAGGAGACTGTTAAGAACCTACAGAACCTAGTAGCCAAAAGCCTAAATCAAAGACATCTCAAACCTCTGATGGCTATAAAGAAAAGGAAAACCACAACTTATATAAATCAAAGTATCTTCAAAAGTTATCTGAATGCAAGAATCTTCGACGTCAAGTAAAGAGACCGAGAGGCAGAAATTTTTTAGCAAAAAAGGTACTACACAGTATGTGGTACATTGTGGTAATTTGGTGGTACTGTACATATCGGGAAATTAAATGATGCAACCAAACTCTGCATAAAACTAATATTGGGAAGCACTTTAATTAATGTAACTATAAATTCTAAAAAGTCAACTCTGCAGAGGAGAGTTTCTGAAAAGTGTAGCATCTCATCCCATAAAGCAGTTAGTGTAGTGTCCTACCCTAACAGGTAACCTTTTCGGGCTACAAAACATATATACATATTAATTCATTGTTTTCTTTTAATTTAAAGAACATTTTGAAAGAAAATATGCCACTTGATGAACCAGACGTTGAAGAAAACCAGGAAAGTATGGAACAAACTATGTGTGGTGAGCCATTAGAAAGTGATGCAGAGATGGAGTGTGATAGTGATGTAGAAGAGAACTTTATTTCAAACACTGATGATGAAGATTTATCTAGCTAAGATGAATTTACTGAGGATGAGAGTGAAGACTTTGTACCAAATGAAGAAGAGTTGGCTGATGATGAAGAATTGCCTACAGATGATGAAGAGTTGCCTTCAGATAATGAAAAGTTTCCCGATAGCACACAACACTCAAAGAAAAACCTTGAGTAAGTCAAACTGTCAAAGGTTTACAGTATTAAAACACAGGGCCGGTTGTTCAAAAGCCTATTAACTTAATCCTAGGTTAACCTAAAATTCAAAGCAAACTTCCCAACAACTTGTTTATAAACTTGGAAATGTTTCTTCAGAAATCTTGTGTGGATCAATGAGAGTTTTCTTTTTGAAGTTTTGAAAGAAACAGATGTGCAGAATACAGAAATTGAAACAGCAGGTTAAATTTTGATCCAGGGTTTGCGCTGTAACTCCAGCTTTGAACAACTGGCTCAATAACTACAGTGTACACTTAAAGGCACTGACAAACCAAACCCAACCAACTTCAGTGTCATAAAATCTTAATGGTCTGAATAGGTTCATTGCACATTGTCAGATAGTGTTTGCTTCTTTGTTAGTAACAGTTATCTATCTGGTCATCTTATATTACATATAATTACCCAATTTGAAATCCCAGAATCATAAATACCCATACATTTTTTCTTGAATTTTTAGAGTTCCTGTGGATACACCTATCCATGCTGAGCCATCATTTATAGTGTTTTATAGCATGTTTCTTCGACTTTTCAACATATTATGTTTTAAATACAAGGGTGATAATCCAAAAGTAACCATGAGGCAGAATGGAACAATGGTCACAGTGAGCCAACATTGCCATAAATGTGGTAAAAATGCATTTGTTTGGAGATCACAACTTTTGGTCCTTGGGCGATATCCTCTTGGTAATGTGTTATTAAGTTATGGGATTTTTGTAGCAGGAGAAAGTGTTAAGGTTTTGCTTGTCTTGCGAACCATGGGTCTTCGTGCCTACTCGTGGAGGACATTTTTTCGTCACCAGAGAAAGTTTTTGCTCCCTTCAACTCTTGCTTACTGAAAAACTTACCAAGAGAATCTTCTCAATGAAGTACGGAAATTGAAAGAAACTTCATGGGGCGGTGATGGGCGTTTTGATTCGATGGGTCATTCGGCCAAATACGGAACTTATACCATGTTCTGCAATACCATCTCAAAAATTGTTCACTTTGAGGTTGTTCAGGTAAGTTCCCGCCACGGGGCAATAGGACAGGTGTAGTTTTGTTAAATAGAAAGTTAGAAATGGTATTATAGCATAACTTCTTATTTTGTTTCATAAATAGTTCTTTAATATTCGAAACAAATCCCACATCTGCTTCGTCTGCCATCGCCATGTTTACTCATACTTGTTTACTTGTTTCGAATATTAAAGAACTATTTATGAAACAAAATAAGAAGTTATGAATATTCTGATCTTTTAAAGGTAGGTTACAGTCGCATCTGCGCATGTGCTGGACTTTTGTTCATGTGGGAACACACAGGAGTTTGTTATCCTCTGTTTATGTCATCCTCTTGTCATCCTCTTGTCATCCTCTCAAAATACTTTGAGCTTTTTTGAGCGACAGTCCGTCAAATAACGAGTTATTTAGGCAACATGACGTGTAGGAAAGGATGCTACGCTAACAGGGATGCTTCGAAAGTGTATCAAAGTGTATCTATTTTATTGTTTTCCTCGATGGAGAGCGTATTCCATTTCTGCGTCTGCCCATGAAAGGCCATGATATACCTGCATCCTCAAGCTTCTACCAAAGGTTGTCAAGAAAAGAATCCAAGAAGGATTGGAGATTGCTCCCAACATAGCTGCAATGTTGATCCTTCAGAGAAATCGCTTGTTGAAGCCCATCAATCGAGGTTTTAATGACTATAAAATGTTCTTTATTACACTATTTCACTATCGTTAATATATACGAACTGTTTATCTATTTTATTTACAAACTGAAACCCATAATATAATTATAAAGGCCTAAAGATATGATACTTGAGAGTAGTGAGTTGTCGATGAAAACATAATGAGCAATTTGGAGTGAACATGTTTGGGACTTTTCGATGGCTGTCTATATAGACGTGTTATTGTCACTTGTCGCAGTGATAATCTACTTGGCTGTGAGCCTGTGGCAGTGCTTTACTGTCTTTGACTGTCTGCTCATGGACAACTTGTGCTCACTTAAAACTTAATAGAAACACATCAAAAAGTTTCTCTGATCAAAGTTAAAGTAGATTTTAATTTGATCAAAGCACATAACAGTTTACATGCCTTTTAGTTGTTCTGAAGTTACAGTGCTTGACCTAATGGGGTGTTTATATGGAGGCAAGCCAGCTCGGGTGCCTGAGCTAGCTCGCTTGGCCGAGATCTAATGTTGCTAGATAATTTATACTAATATTTGTATTGTGTGTATATGAGAACCAGGCCGGCTTGCCTAAGCGAGATCTTGTTTAATTTGTGAAGCTCGACAGAGCTCCAGATCTCGCCTAGGTTGGCTGGTTTGCCTAAGCCGCTGAATACAAATATATTGTACTAATTGTAGTAAATAAGACTTTCTCAACAGATTTTTGATCTATAATTTTAAAAATTAATGCCTCTGTGAACAGTTGTGACGGTCATAACCATGACAGTTTCTCGCGATGATTTGTTTTGGTGCCAGCCTGCTACATGATGAAATTAGCTAGGCAAATCCACCTAGCTCAGGTAACCGGACTGGTTTGCCTCCATATAAACCATAGATATAGGAGATCTAGATTGCTAACGCATACTTAGCGCAGGCGGGGCCTACATGATAAATCCAAGATGGCGGTACAACAGGGCAAAAGACTATAGATTCTATTACGAAAATCAGGGTTTTTGCATTTTTTGCCGTCGCATTGTTTTGAAACTTATTCGGTCAAATTTTATCGTAAAGAGAAACTTACCGCGAAGATTTTGAGCATATATATGATTGAATTGGATGAAAACTCGCAAAATTATCCATCGATAAAAGTTCGTGTATAGTACTGATATAGTACTATATATGTAATTTGTACAGTTTTGCTTTAATTTTTGCTCACTATTTGCATAAAAAGCAAATTATAACAGACCACAGATGATAGACCCTCATCCAGTGCTCTCATCAGTTTACTTCTCTAACAAGCAAGAAGGTACATAACAATTCATTTTTCATAATTATGAGGACAGAGCAGATGATGAGAGATGCAAGTATAAAACACCATTCACAAGGCTAGATGTTAAAAAAAAATGCAAAAATCCTGATTTTCGTAATAGAATCTATAGTCTTTTTGCCCTGTTGTACCGTCATCTTGGATTTATCATGTAGGCCCTGCCTGCGTTAGGTATGCGTTAGTAATCTAGATCTCCTATATCTATGATATAAACACCCCTAAGACATTTAGTTTATAAAAGATTTTGATCACAAATACTTATATGATGTAAACAAACTCAACTAATAATTACTAGTATATTTTTCACCCTAATTGTAAGTAAAAGCTTGCATATAAGAACCTATATAACGGCCTGTCAGGCTAACTTATTCAGTATTTAGGCACCCAATCTGTTTAGGCTAGTATTTCAGTTTCGTATTTTATCACATGGAGACCAGTCAGATCTAAAAATGTATAGAAATCAAAGAGAATAAACTCTTCACAAAGTAATGAAAATGATCCAGAACCCTGAAAATGTCATTGAGATAAATAAAGTGTAGCTTTACAGTGCATACAGCTTTGTATAAGTGCATATATACTGGCATTTTTAGATGATCATGACTGATATAGCTACTATACATGTCTTGTCCAAAAGTAGGGTCTGGGTGTTTGAAATCAGAGCTTTCTTTCTCCTAGATGGATTGCCAGCCAAGGCTTATGAGCTCTATCTACACAAAGCAATCTGGTTTTAAGGTGCCAGACACTTGCCAGTTCATATTGTACTATAATTGCCTGATTTTGTGTCACAAAGAGTGGCAACATCCCATTATCTACTGTATGTTGCCAGAACAGGCTGCCGTGCATGGTCTGTTTGGGGACAAAATTAGACAAGTAGACAACACAGTAAAAGCCTGCGAATAAGAACCTAGATTTTTTACAAGTTAGCCTAAACAGGTTCTTATGTAAATGGTGCTTATCTGATTGTTCATGTTACAAACTGTAATTATATTTAGTAGCTATATTCAGTATTCGTAGGGGCATATAAAAGCTATAAATAAAGCCCTGGAGTCATGTTTCTGCTTTACCCCTTGGAGTTCTCCTTTAATGTCTGTATATATGTATATATATATATTACCATATAACCCAATAAATCTGTTAAAAGAAGAAAGATTCGTTGATGTAAATCAAAATTTCATCAGTGTTTCCTGGGCATTCTGATGAGCTCTGATATAGAGCGAATCAAGCATATATTTAGCAATTTGCCTGCGTCTTGAAGAGACATGATGAAGTAACCTGATCACCAGAATTGTTGAAGCTAATATTAGATCATTCAGTGTCACAAGAATATCATCATTTAGTGTCAATATGAGAGTAATATCAATGAATTCATACTTCCAGTTCATAATTTCGAAACATACATTTTTATAACACAAAAAAGTTGAATATAATCTTAGCGTCTCCTACTCTCGTCACTGTCAATCTATTGAACTCTTCTGTTGTTTATATTAAAATAGCATCCAAAATTATCTCCATAGCGCGCACGAGCTTGAACAAAGGCTGTTTATCCAGCTTTTGCACGGTCAAAAATTTCGCTCTTGGCTTTGCCACGAAGACAGGAACTGCAGCCACATTCTCAATCACACTTGTTTCGAATTTCGTCAAGCGAAAAGCTTTCCCCAATGCTTCTCTCATAATGACACAACAACTCTGGCAACATGTTTCGAGGGATTGATACCGCATGAACTATTTTCGTGATTAGACACAAACTCCAAAGGTAAACACTAAACACAAATTATTCGAACTCACACCTTCGGGATTTCGGTTCGCCGCCCCAGCTGTTGTATATAGCAAGTCACACAAGGTTCAAAGCGGGCTCTTTGTTCACGATGTTTACAGTTAAAAAGTTACAGTATAAGATTGTGTTATTGTGTACAAAAAATTCCATTGTAGAAATGTACAAGAAATGCAGCGAAGTATTGTAAAACATTGCACTCCTCGATCACAAATTATGTGGAATGTTACTTTGAACTCGTCATATGCTTCATCTTATATAATTAATGTGGATCAAAACAAAAAACGTAAACAAAGTCCAGCACATGCGCAGATGCGACTGTAACCTACCTTTAAACATACATGAGTAAGTATAATACCATTTCTAATTTTCTATTTAACAACATTACACCTGTCCTATTGCCCGTGTTCTCAATTTCACGTGTACTGGTTGTGCTAGTTAAACATTTAGGCAGAATTTAACCAAGTGACTATGCATGCAGTATATTTTTTTAAACTCTGACTAATTTTGTTGTCTAAACCAGACAAGTTTACTTGCAAAATAAGAGGTCTTGCTGACAATGGGTTATAGAGCTAGGGGAGCCACCATGGTGTATTAAAATAGTTCAGTTATACTTTAGCTAAGAAAGTAAACATACTCTTCAGAATGATTATTTGTAATTATACCTACATAATTTAGTACACTTAATATACAAAGCACAAATGAGAATACAAAACATGACTGGGAAAAGAACTGTTATCACCAATAAATTTAACAATCCACCAATTAAGTCATGATGTGATTTATATACCTTCTGAATTTATTTTCAGGCCAGGACTATTAGGCTGCCAACTCTCCAATGAAAGCCTTAAAATTAATGAGTTTTTTTTATTATAAATGTAGTCAAATGAAACTGGAAGTAGCAACCAAATGGAGTTGGAAGGAGCGAAGAGGTGCTTTTCATACCTTCAAAACAATGCCCAAGTAAAGATCCCTGTTTTCATATCAGATAGGCACTCTAGTATCAGCAAGTGGATACGAGAAAAACAACCAAACACAATCCACTTTTATGATATTTGGCATGTGGCCAAGGCAGTCACAAAGCGAGTCCTTAAAGCAAGAAGAAGGGGTGCGAGATTCTGAAGGACTGGACAAAAGCAATAAAGAACCATCTGTACTGGTCTGTTACCTCCACCAAGCAAGGTTTTGTGGACTTGATCAAAGCCAAGTGGTTGTCATTGATCCAGCATATTTCAGACAGTCATTGTGATCATCCCAATGAATTGTTTCCAGTATGCAACCATGGCGAACTGGAACCAAGGGACTGGATTTTGCCTGGTAAGTCTCCAATGCCCTTTATTATATAGCAAGTGTCAAAGTTCAATTTTCCGGTTTACCAATTGGACAAAACCGTATCACGTGCCGGTCCACAAAACATGTTGGCTGCATGCTTGCAACCGGTCAACAATGAAACAACAAGGCACAAGCTGCTCGCATATGCATCTGCTGATCAGTTTGCAAGTTGTTCAGAAGATGTTAATCCACGTATGGTGGGCGTAAAAGACAGCAAATTTGGCAACGTACATATAACTCTCTCTCGTTAGTTTGGAATATCACGAAACTTTGTGATACTTTGTGATATCGATTTTGTTACATTTTGGCGGGAAAATGACGTGCCAACTTTGGCGCCAAAAAATTAAACACGACCTAAGAAAAGATTGTCCTATATGGATCTCAAAACTGTAAAAACATTAAAAATACAACAAGGCAGTGCGAAGATATGGCGATTCAAAGTTCGAAAAAAATCTATTTTTAGTAACAAAATGGCTGATTTTTCAGTAAAAATAGAACTTTGAGTCGCCATATCTTCGCACTGCCTTGTTGTATTTTTAATGTTTTTTATTGTTTTGAGATCCTTATAGGACCATCTCTTCAAAAAAGTTACCAGCATGTTCTTAGCTCGTGTTTAATTTTTTGGCGCCAAAGTTTGAACGTCATTTTCCCGTCAAAATGTAACAAAATCGGAAAACAAAAAAATACGATTTTTAGGAATTTTAAGTTCTATCCTGTGAGGGAGTTTCGTGATATTCCAAACTAGCGACAGAAAGTTATATGTACGTGGCCAAATTTGCTGTCTTTTTTGCCCACCGTGATATCTACTATTGACCTGGTGGTGAATTATTGAGATTCGCTATATAATAAAACACTTATTTACTGAGACCCCGGGAAAACAGCGTGGGCCCCCCCAACCGCCGTTTTTGCCCCCGGCTTTGCCTCGGGCAACAACAGTGGTCTATGGGCCACAAAATATGCTGTTTTCCTCGGTCTCAGTAAATAAGTTATATTTTTTCATCATACCTGTAAATATTCATTAAAAGTATGCTGTAATCGCATGGCACTCAGGTCGATCAGTTATCAGTGAGGTCGATCAGTGACAACTATTTCTAATTGTGCCTCATGTATACTGGATGAGATACAATTAGGGCTAATACTGTCTCATCCAGTATCCATCAGACAAATACAATGGTAATTATCCCTTACGAAATAAACAATTTTGAGGTGAATACAGTATATGATTAATTACAGTAATTTGACTTGATTTGTGGGCACAGTGTTCGTTCATAGATAGATAGATAGATAGACAGAAAACTTTATTTATCCACGCTAACCCTGTCACCCAAGGCTGACTTCCACAGGGGGCGTGTAAAAAGGAATTACAAAAATATAGTATTTAAAGCTATTTACAATCTATAGTATCGACTAAGTTATATAAACTATAAGTAAGTCATATATATATTTACAAGTTTTTTTTTAGGTTTTCAGTTTCTTAGGATCTTGTTTTAGTTAAAGAATGTGAGTAGCAATTTTATTTTGAAAACATGACAGGGATTTTGCTTTCCCTAATTTCATTTGGAATGGAGTTCCATAAGTGAGCACCGTTATACATGAAACTATTTTTCATGTTATTTGTTCGAGGTTGTGGTAAACAAAGACCACTTGAAATGTCCCGAAGTTTGTAATTTGTCATCCCACTTTTATAGGTGAAAAGGTTTGTGAGTGACTCATAACCTATTTTATTCAAAATTTTGTACATTAGTTTTGCTTTTGCCTTTTCTCTTATTGACTGAAGTGGCTCCCAGCCCAAAGCCTGTAAAGCAATAGTGTGATCTATATCGTTGCTCATACTCATGATAATTCGAGCAGCTCTATTTTGAAGTTTCTGAAGTCGTTTTGATTGTGTTTCACCAAACACATCCCACACTTCACAACAATAATCGAAATGTGGACGTACAATAGCATTATATATCGATATAAGTGTATCTTTGTTAACAAAAGTTTTAACACGACGGAGAGCAGAGATTCCTGATGTTATTTTCTTGCAAATATTTTCAGTATTACTTTTCCAAGATAAATGCTGGTCAACTATTATTCCAAGAGTTTTGCATTCATAAACTTGTTTAATTTGTGTGTTTCAAATAGTATTTGGGTGAAAATGTTTTATCATTCGTTTTGAGCCAATCAACATGAATTCAGTTTTAGCTACATTCAAGCTAAGTTTATTGGCCATCAACCAGTTTCTAAGATTGTCTAGATCACAATTTACTGCAATCTCAATGTCAGTCATTGAGACTCCAGAAGCTGTGAGATTTGTACCATCAGCAAATAGGCGAGGTCTTGTATTATCAAGGCACTCGGGTAAGTCATTGATGTATAATAAAAACAATAATGGTCCTAAAATAGAACCTTGTGGTACACCACATCTAATTAAGCGCTCTGATGAAACAAATCCATTTATTTTGCACTTCTGGCTACGATTTGTGAGATAGGATTTTAAGAAAGAAAGTGCTTGTCCTTTTATTCCGTAAAACTCCAACTTTTCTAGTAGAATATTGTGATTAACAGTGTCAAATGCTTTTAGAATATTGTGATCAACAGTGTCAGATGCATATGACAAATTAAATGCTATTGTGAGCAACATGCGCCTAGTGAATGATATCAAGAAAATGTCAACTGACACCCAAACAAGTGCACTTGAGTCATTCATGCAGTGCTGAATTTCTGGCACCCCAAAATGCTCTGTTTTTCATGGATGGGGACAAAATGCAGGTATGCAACATATAAACATTGTTTTATTTGTCCTGTAGGGTGTTTTGTGAATACAACATGGGTGCACCAACATGGGTGTACCACCTAATTTTGACAAAAAAATACAGTAACTTGTATGGCAATCTTTTTTTGTTCTATAAATTTGTCAAGGGAGAGGGCAGGGCTTCACTGTATCAGGCAATTTCCATGCAAGTCGGGCATATTTTTTCCACCTGTATGCCCATGCTGATTACCTGGCCATTAATTCAAAAGATTATCAACTTAGTGAGTGTTATAATCCAGCAATACTTACAGCAGTTAATGTGTAGTGTATACACTGAGCTTTTACAATTGATTTTGATAACTAAGCAAATTCTTGCATCACTTCATTTTAATGAAAACGTGCATCGGGAAGTGAAAAAGAAGAAGAATGGTGAAGTCAGGACGCGTGTTTGGTGGCCAAAGTACAAGGCTGGTGAAGCTGTAGTTAGAGATGTGAAAGTTTAGCCAACTTACAGTAAGTGTCATGATTTCCATAAGAGTTTGTTCATGATTATCAACATTTTTCAATCATACCAAGTGTATCATTTTCTCACCCCCTCCCCTTATCCATACTGCATCCCCCTTAAATTAGTACAGGAAAGTAATTAAATAGGAAAATAGAGGATTTCAACTTTTTTCCCAGGATACAGCGATAATCTAAATGAGATGTTGTTCACAAGTCCATTAAAAGATCTGGAAAAGATTTATCAGCAAGAAGAATCTAAAGCCCCAAAGTCACTAACGTCACAGTTTTCAACAGGTTGTCTCGAGAAAATGCGATTCAGCAATTTGCAACCACCCAAAGTATGAAAACCCCTCTGTTTCCTGCATTAAAAGTTCAAGACCAATTGGTCATTGCCAAGAATGAAAGATCTGAGAATATGACACAAACTTCTAGTGCTACCAGTACTACTGCCAAAAAGAAAAGATCGCCTCATTGCAGAAAATTCAAAAAGCCTATGCTAGGTCATCCACGAAACAATTGCCCGAATTAAAATTTATCCATAACACCAGATGAATGATAAATACAATATATTGAATTTTTTTACCAAAGTTGATACAAGACAAGGCCAAGGGCGCCGGAAGCAATGTGAAGCGGCGGGGGCAGCCATTTCAATAGGGCTCTTCTCGGCCATCATTTTTCTGGGCGGCAATATTTGTTAAAGCTTTATTGTATGGATACCCGATTACTTGTGGCTATTGTGAATCGGCAAACTTCGACATTAAATTTGAACAATTTTATTTGTTGCACCATGTTAAGGGTGCAAAATAAAATCAGTAAACGGACGTATATTGTCTGATTTAGCATTAATCAGGGGCATCGGAACCGTGGGGCAATGGGGACATGTGCCTTCCCGCTTTTTTAAAAGTGAAAAAATGCCGTTTGGGGGGCTAGAAAGAAAGTGCCCTTTTTGCTGTAATAAAGACTCTGTAAAGGCCATTTCCAACGTTAAAGGGACTCAATATTTTCAAAAAATTTTCGTTCGGCCCGTGACCGACAAAATCGTTTGATTTTGATCGTAATTATACAAAAGTGATTCCGCGGCCTCTGGCATTAATTCTACTATAACTGGTTAAAATTAAGCAAAGATTGCTTAAACATTGCTCAAAAATAGTTATAAATTCCAATTCATGTGAATTACGCACAAACTTCTAAGCGCAGTTTTGGTGAAAAAAGGCAACCTGTTGCCCCCGCGCCGTCCCCGCATTGTTTCGGCAACGGCGGCAGTTGCCCCCGCTGCCCCCGTGGCTCCGTCGCCCCTGGACAAGGCTTGGACACTTGATAGAAGGACAATATAACTCACTATCTATGTTTTTGTCTATATTTTTACAAAATTGCAGTACTTGGTGGCCACATGTGTATTGTATTTTCACCCATCCAACCAATAGTAGTGTATTGCCCAATTATTCACCCTCACATCATACCTAATTTTAGTGTGCAGTGATAACCATTTTGTGCAGTGATAAAACTAAAATGTCCAGTGATAAAATGTAAAATGTGCAGTGATAAAATTTCCTGCGGAAAGTTGTTAACCAAGAAAATCAGGCAATGAGCAGAAGAACTGAACTAAAAATTCGTCTTGACACTTGACAGCATTGATCAAAACATTTTGAATGAGAATAACTTGAATGAAATTGAAATGATAGCTGCAAAATTATCGAACGTGCGTGCCCTAATATTATACTTCACAGGGCCACAGCAACCGGGGGCGGGGGCTGCAGCCCCCTCCCCCAATAATTTGCTAATAATCATTTTTTTTCAAAATCATGCAGACCTTTGTCATTTAATCTGTGACAAACTGCAAAGAATGAAGATATTGCCCATACGTTCCTGCAACTTATTGATATATAGTTAATTAAATACGCCCATTTAGTACACTACTAGTAAATTTCGACATACTAAAAACGCTGTTTTTTGAGTATCAAAATTCTGTCAAATCTTCCCCAACTCCAGCAAATGACATTTCAGAGACTCTAAATTAAACGTCAGGTTCATCAGATGAACAAAGTCTCACCAAAGATCTCTTTATGAGCTTAGATGATGAAGTGAATAATACTTATCTTTTTGTAATTAGTGTGTACTGTAATCTGCAGAATTCTATAGAATGTTTCCGCACATTGCACGAAATTGCCTTTTAGAGAGCTTAGATTACAAAATTTTCTTTGGGTGTATGCCCCTGGAATTCATCGGAGGTTTGTCACCTCTAAGCTGCCTTTCATATGCCAATACGAAAATATTTCTTTCCTGCAAGTGTTTTATTATGAAACTATGCTGGCCTAGATAGTTGTAACTGTAGATGCTGTCAAGGCTGCCCATGAGGGTGGTTGGGCCAATTTTTCCTGGGACCTCAGTTAAAGGGGGTCGAAAAAAGAATTGCAGTAAAATATACGTAGATATAACTGTCAACAGACTTCCAGAATGCAGGATTTGGCCATTTCTGGGACCTCAGATTTCAAAATTTTCCTGATGGGAATGCCCCTGGACCCCCTAATCATAGTGTTAGAAGATGGAAGTACGAGGGGGCCAAAATCAAATTTGGCCCTGACTACTCACATTCCCCTGGGCAACCCTGGGTGCTGTACAATGTAGTGTATGTTGATTTTGGCATTTTTGAATATCAAATGTAGCATGTTTTGTGGTTACACATTATTATAAAGGTGTGTTTAGAAATTTTCAGGGCGTGCTTCTGCTCAGCCAAACTTTGCGCAAAAATGTGCAGAGATAAAAATTCTTAAAATTAGGTATGCCTTACATGAACTGTTGGTTAGTTTAACAATTACCATAATCATTGGTTAATTTGAAAGAAATGACATGTAACAACAATGAACCAAATTTAAGCTACCTAATCCCACAATAACATTGGTAATTAGTTACATTCTATTTTCAATTTGACACACCAATTCATGTAATTTCAGATTGCGTATGGAAATAATGTTTTAGAGAAAGTGTTTTTATAGTAACAACAGAGGTACAATAACTGGAAAAATTTAATAACTGAAAAATTTAATAACTGAAAATTTTAAATATACAGGATAATTTGGGACGTGAAGAGTTGAATGCTGAAGTTAACTGCATTCCAATCAATACTTGTAATTAGATGCTTGCATGTTGGCATTTAATGGTCACTGTAATTCCCTTTTGATTTGAGCATAAACCAGGTTCACTTATGCCAAGCTTTAAGTAACTAGAATATATTAGCAAGCTTTCAATGAATATAATATGCTTATGTTTATGCATGCAAGTGTTATACCTCAAAGCAGAATGGTCTGAATTTTACTACCATATTGCTTTCTTAATGTTGGGTCAACGCACAATATTTTTACTGGTTCATTTTAGAAAAGATCAACACTTTCCCCACAGAGGAAATTTCAGCCATCCCGACGTTCTCTCCCCTTCCCGTCGGGATAGCAGAAAGAGAGTAATTTGTTTCCAATTATAGTAGTGTATGAGGATTAGGACAGCCAGCGCCAGAATGTGTAGCTGGGTTAATTTCTTCTGTGGGGGAGTATAGATGTTCTCTAGAATAATCAAATTCTATTCTAGTATATACTTAATTAAAAGTATTATGACAAACTAACATGACAGTTGTATTCAACAATCAATATAAAATTACACAGGTCCCTGTCTGCATTGTGCTGGTAGATATCCCTTGTTTTCGTATCTTTGTCCATTTGGATATTTTGTTCGAAGATGACCATAGATACAGGCAAGCAAAGGTCTTGTGTTGCTCCATCCCATTTATCCACAAAGCCACCTTATTAGCCAACGATACGCCACAGGCACAGATCTGAAATATTTATCAGTTGACAGAAACACATGCAGCATTTATTTAATACTGTAATAATTAGAAGACCGTTTATACAGTTGAAGCAGCAAAAGTGATTTAATTTATATTTGTGCTGACTTACTCGTCTTTACGTACATTTTTCTTCTTACGATAGTGACTTCCATCCATACGAACTAATGACTGCCCAGCTAGAGTTAACACAGCCTTATTCGTGATTGCTAAAAGGTCTTCGTGTTGGATAATGCACTTGATATGCTCTATCGCGCCGTCGAAGGCCATTTTCCCGGTCGTATCCACGAATTCCCGGCAACATCTGTACTCGAGAGATCCAACAAGATGTTCTACTTTACATTGGCCACAACTACACCAATCCTTAACATCAACTTTGCTTTTGAATCGTTCAGCAAGAACACCAGGAGAAAGGCCATCCAAATCAACTTCGTCATTGCTGGAGCTTGTGCGCTGTCGTTTGTTAACGTTTGACCGATTGCTTGCCAATTGTTCATGAACTTATAAGGTTCATATTGCCCATAAACCACACCACATAGCTCTTCTGAGTCGCCAGAAGATTCTTGTGGACTTGAAGAGTCACTTTCATCAGAAGAACTTGACATTTTATTGATTCTACTCCCAGTCTAACTATCTAACATTAGACTTGTCTATTTACATACCGGAGCGTGCAAACAAATTTACGTCACACATCGCATGTGACCAGAAAATCTCGTCTCCATACCCCGGTTTAATTTTGCCTTAAAAATCGAAATTTTATGATCGGTTTTGCTCCAAAAAAGGGCAAAGAAATACCAAAACGGCTTCAAACAAGGTAGTTTTGTATTGTAATAAGGTCTAGCTAAGTCGTGTCAGTTCTCCTTTAATACTGATAATTATAATCTCCTCAAGAACGAGTATTATATATTTTTATACTTTAAAATTTACATTTAACCCTATTTGTACCGGGGGTTTTTCATGTTGATATGACCGGGGGTGCGCTGATAGGGCGCACCCCTCAGAAATTCTGTCGATTAACTGCTATTATCCTATAAGTTTTATTTTTAGTAAGTTTTATCTTTCTTTAACCTAAAAATAACAAAAAAGTTAAATTCACATCCAAAATGCTGTTTTTTGGCCCCATTGAATATGACCGCCTATACGAAAATGGCGAATAAAGCTAATATTTTACCCATTTTGGTTATATTTTGTAAAGAGATAACAAAACATTTTGGATGTGATATTTTTTGGGTCTTTTACATTCAAAAGACATACTTTTATGTTATAGCATATCTCAGTTGTCCATAAACACCACTATTTTACTTTCCAAGTTGGCATTTCTGTGCCATATGAAAAGACATACAACTGAAACTTACCAGTCTCTCATATAAACAATCCAAATCATTTTCAAGTTTCAACATCACTGATTTTACCTTCATATCTTTGTGATAGTGTCATTGTTGTATAAATAATGTTCCATTATTCTCTTAGTATGCACAATTGTGCATTCTGTTGAAATTCTAGCACTTTTTTTGGCATAACTTCTGCAGTGTAAACATAAAATGTGACATGTCGACCAACAAAAGTTTGTAGAAAAAATACGAAATGGCAGCTATGTTTTATACCAATATACTATGTGTTACATGAAGTGTAAGGCAGGTGAGCTACGAGATACGAGCCTGCAGTATAGTTTTGAAAACACAATATTTACTTTGAAAATCATGGCAATCATTATGGATTGTATGCAAATGTTTTACTCTCATTTGGAACTGAATTTCTGGTACGAAAGTGTTCAATATATAATGCATCCTACAAGTTTGATTCTTGCTGAAAGACAGGGAGATGTTATGCCTTGAAGGTACAAAGAAATACGTGTATTTGAATATATAAAAATATTATAAATAAGTATTTTATATTATATAATTATAGGTATTGTATAGTATACTATATTATATGTTATACTATATTTTACTATTTTATATAATATATTATGGATATTTTACTTTGCAAATCATGTGTAATAATCCATATTTATATGTTCTCTAAGTATATTATGTTATTTATGACCTGGGAAGTGATTGAAGCCAAAAAATACTGTCCAACCCACATTTACCCATTTTTGGCCCCGACACCTTCTTTGACAAATGTCGCCAAACGTCCGGATAACTTTGCATTTTCAGAAAAATTTTTTCGCAGTCATGACGGCAGAGGAAAAATATTAAAAGTCATGAAAGTACAGGCAAATCGGATCATTTGTTCAGGAATGACGGATAAATATTTATAGGGGTGCGCTCATTGTGCGCACCCCCGGTACAAATAGGGTTAACTTTCCTGTCAGAATTTATGGTATACGACTATACGTAGAATAAGTATAAAAGGTCAAGTAGGATGTATACAAACACTAACAGCACAAGTCGAAGCGCCTTTGCTCGAAACGTCGAAGTTCTCTTTGTATTTTTCAGGTAGTTGTATCCCTATCAATCCGAAGCTTTCGTACATATTTCCCCCAGAATTTTTAGCTATTTTCAATTATTTGATTTCAGTGTAAAAAGTATCAAATTTTCGACGACAAATTCCAAATACTTTGTTCATATTTTGCAACAGTTTCCAAGCATGCGTAGAACTCACGTTGGAAATTCAACGTACTATCTGCCGTTAGCTAATCACAGGCCTGAATCAATTTGATTTCTCCAGAGCTATGCCCACCCTTAACCTGCGAGCGGGCATGCTCGGGGAACAAGATTGGTCACGACACTTTTGTATATAAAAGAGCGTGCAAATTAAACAAGTCACATATTATTAGCACTGATGAAGAACCGGGCTTACGGATGGAAAGCTTTGCAGTATAATAAATTTACGTGGTATTTCCACAAACAAAAGTATTTAGTAAGTAATTAGGAAAATATTTGGCTTTTGCAAGTGATTCCACAACAAGTATTTGTTGAATTCCGCCATTTTGGGTGTCAAATTAAACATAGTAAATTAAAAGCAAACATGGCGTCAAAGTAAGACAGGGGTGTAGTAGTCAGTTGAATAAATGATTTTTGCCACCCAAAATGGCAGATTATTTTTGATGATACGTCATACTGCAATACCTGTATAGTGTATTACCATACAATCGCAAAAGGTTGGCGCCAGTGTAGGTAGAGACAATGTGTAGGGTTACAATTACCCAAAAATATAAACAGAACTTCGACGTTTCAAGGAAGGTGTATAATTGTCAGGCAGTTGTACCTACACATCGCAGCCTAGTGTTTTATCAAGTATACAGTAACTTGTCCCATATTACTTACAGTATTTTAATGTAATTATTGAGATATTAATTGCCAATTGGCTAAAATTCATAACCGTTAATGTATATTTGCATTTTGAATTAGTAGACTCTACTAACTGATGAATATTCTAATTTCACAAGGCAGAATACGCCCGTTTGCGGGTTGGAAATTGACATTTGAAATGAAGAGCTATTGCTTGAAAGTCGGGAAGTGCATATTTTTCTTTTTAAAATGGCTGTCAAGACATCTTCCACAAAGTTGTGCGTTCAGCGCTGAAGCCCACACTATAGACCCCCAAAGTTTCATAATATATGTTACTGTTTGTCTTTAAATTTATCACAAATGTAATTTGTCCATAATCTCTCAGTTTAAAAGTAAAAAACAAGACAACTTTTTCTAATTGTTTTTTGTAAGTTCTTTGTTCTTTTTTTATTTTATCTTTTTGTGTTCATCCCGATTTTATTAAATTTTGAATACTTTTTTGACCTTTCGGTTTTCTTTGTAGAAAGTATTTCAGATATCCAACCTTCGAAAATAATTTTGTGATAAAAATTAAATTTTACTCACTTTGCATTGCAGAAGCTAATTAAGCTGGAGTAATACGAGCAACAAAATTACTGCAACTTGCAACAAAATCTGATTTCAATGCATGTTAAGTAGGAATGTTGACAAATGTTGCCTCGTGATTTGTAATGCATGTGTGAACATTTTCAATTAATATACGTTGAAATCCGATTTTGTTGCAAGTTGCAGCAATTTTGTTGCCCGTATTACTCCACCTTTAATGAAAGTTTCAAACTGGCTGCTACAGAGAGTGAGCCATGTACCTTAACCTATGCTAGTTTAACTGATTTGCTAATATATACTGTACATTTTGAAATTATGTATTGCCAATAAATCGCATGGATGTATTGCGAATAAATCGTTGTAATTATTTTTTATCAATTTCAGCAGGTCTGGGGTTGTGTTTTGGACAGCCTTTTACGGAGTTGATTACGGAACTTCGTGCGTCGTTGAAACATCAATGTGACACAGAGGTTTGAGATACTTTCTTTTTTTGGCTTAATAGTCTTTGAATAAGCAGTAAGACATGATATGAAAAATACTGTTTCTTGGCGATGAATAAAAAATGATTATGTTATGTTGTGTTATTTTTCATTCGGTAATATGATAAGTTGAAAATTTTCTCGAGTGAGTATTTCATAATTTCCACACCGCACGCAAGCAGACAGATATGCCTGCCGCAGCTGTGTCTTAAACCCACGACTTAGATCAACGCTTTACCAACTGAGCTACACGGTCAGACGGATTTAAGACTGATTACATTTATAATTAATTTATTAAATGTTACATTACTTGTATCTTTGCAGATAGTGAATAAGAAGCTTAATAATATAGAATCAAAACTCTGCAAAATTAAAGAGGTTGAAAAGAATGCAGCCGAAAACTCGGAGGAACTAAAACGTCAAAAGGAGAAACTTGAATGTCATTCCAACGAACTTGAACGTCACTCAAACGAACTTGAAGATCTCAACAAAAAGTTAAAAACAGAAGATCATGATAAGCAAAAAGAAAATTATTCAAAGTTTGCAGACAAGAAAGGTATTTATTTGATCACACTAAAATATGAAATATTTATGATGTATTTTACTACACCTCACATTGAGCAGCATGGATAACTTATGAGTATTTGGATCGGTCAGGCAACCATTCAGGCAGTTGGTCAATTAGGCAGTCGGTCCATCAATTAGTTGATCACTTAGCAGGCCGTAGCTAGACACGATAATTGGGGGGTGTATATTCATATATTCATGTTTGCATACTGTAAAAACAATCGATTTCGAAAGAAATCCGTCGGGCAGAACACGAATATATGGATATACACCCCCCTCCCAATTATCGTTCTAGCTACGGCCCTGTCGCTCAGTCAGTGAGTCAGTGAGTCAGTGAGTTAGTGAGTCAGTAAGTCAGTTGGTCCATCGGTTAGCCAGTCAACAGGGCAGTTTTTAAGAAATTGCACCTGCTGCTGCCAAGTCTCGATGAGGGCTATTTCCCCACGCAGTTACGTGCACATAAAGATCATCCTTTGCTTAGGGGTGCGCTAACACTATTTCAATGGGGCTGGGTCTTAACGGCTCAACATCAAAAAGTATTTCGCACATTTGGCGTGAAGGATTTTTCCGGTTATGTTTTCATGTCATGACCTCCTAACCAATTATGCATATTTCGTGACTACGTGACATGAAAATGTGAACATTTTTTCAGTCGATCACGTTCTTAGCAATTGCCCTAAAGAGAAGCCGTCATCCGTGCAAACATATGAAGTTTAATGTTCCAGGGTGTGTGTGTGTGATATTTCTTTAAGCCAAGAACACGGCCGCCAGATATGCGCAGTAAAAATTACCTTAAGATTTTTTTCGCAAAAGTATGATCATGTGATTATACTTTTCATTTTCTTTTTGGGTTAACGTAGCATTGTTTGTTGAATTATTCCGTAATTTTTTTGCACATTTCTCTAAATTTTAGGTACAATTATCAATTTTACTACCTGACTACCTACACACTAGCGGGGTGTTCCACCCCCTCCCCCCAACACCTCCCTTTAGCGTTGCCCCTGCCTGTGCTAACTTTTGTAAGATGGGATGTGTCGAGAATATGAAATGATACGAAAGCAGGCAGATGTAACTTTTTCAACAAGATTGCCTTTTTGCCAATGATCAAAAGGGCCAAGCTCATCTGAAATCTTACTTCACTGCCGGGGCAAACCAAGGACCTACTGGGGTAAATGTCCCAGTAGTTATACAGGGTGTATCAAAAAAAGTAAGACAATTTTGAAATTGCTCTCAATTCCACAATTCTGTTCATGAAATGTAATTTTTGCTATATATGGATTGCTTGAGTTCTTAAATTATGGAAAATATAAAAAATTTTGAAAATAGTAAATTTTGCTATCCAGGGGGGTGGTCAACTTTTGCTCTCCTAAAAGTGGCTTGCGCACGGAAATGACAAACGGTATTCTTTATTTGAGTTTATGTATGAAAAGTTCGCTATTTGTTGCATTTGTGATAAAATTTCGGCAGGATTTTACCGAGTACAAATCCTCCGAAAAGCCTATGAAAACGTTACATTTTTCTCTGTTGGTGCTGTTCTTGCTTCATTATGAATTCATTTTTACTCCCATGAGAGTTCCATGGAATTTCCATGGAATTTGTGCTTTCGAGTTGTTTGTGCTGAAACGCATTCTCTCGTATAATAACCCGTACACTTTGAAATGGCGATGCCACAATTTACCCCGCAGCAGAGAGCTTTTATGGTATCAGAGTTCCTCCGTAGCAACAACATAAACTTGGTTCGCCAAAGTTCACGAAAGAATATCCGGATGCATGTACGATGCCCTTCACGTGCGAATACGTGAAGGCATCGTACATCTGGATATTTGTTCGTGAAACTTTGGCGAACCAAGTTTATGTTGTTGCTACGGAGGAACTCTGATACCATAAAAGCTCTCTGCTGCGGGGTAAATTGTGGCATCGCCATTTCAAAGTGTACGGGGTATTATACGAGAAAATGCGTTTCAGCACAAACAACTCGAAAGCACAAATTCCATGGAAATTCCATGGAACTCTCATGGGAGTAAAAATGAATTCATAATGAAGCAAGAACAGCACCAACAGAGAAAAATGTAACGTTTTCATAGGCTTTTCGGAGGATTTGTACTCGGTAAAATCCTGCCGAAATTTTATCACAAATGCAACAAATAGCGAACTTTTCATACATAAACTCAAATAAAGAATACCGTTTGTCATTTCCGTGCGCAAGCCACTTTTAGGAGAGCAAAAGTTGACCACCCCCCTGGATAGCAAAATTTACTATTTTCAAAATTTTTTATATTTTCCATAATTTAAGAACTCAAGCAATCCATATATAGCAAAAATTACATTTCATGAACAGAATTGTGGAATTGAGAGCAATTTCAAAATTGTCTTACTTTTTTTGATACACCCTGTAGAACACTGATGGTTTTTCGAGTTCAAACTACTCAATATCTCTTGAAATTTATTATATTTTGTTACCAAGTCATGGACTTGTGCTTCCAATTTTTAACAAGGCTGGATACAAAGTTTCAACTTTTAATTTCAATTTCTTACTATGACGCATGTACAGAATTGAGAAGGATTTTTATGTATACTATTTAAAACATGCATGATGAGCAGCAGTGTTTTATCAGATATAAAGATACGAGGCGAAGCCGAGTATCTTTATAGGTCTGATAAAACACGCACTGGCACTGCGAATGAGTTTTAAATTGCTTCAAAAACGATCGATCTATAGTAAGTTCATTGGCGAAGTAATTTTCAAAAAAATACTTTGTGTAAGTCAGAAAATCAAAGTTAAAGTTTAATATGTAAATCAAGGGAAATCTCTATTACCGATATAAAGATACGAAACGCTTATGATTTTTCTTTGTGTTTTCCTCATGTGAATCAGATTAATGAGTTTTTGGATCACTTGTCAAACATTTCGGTATAACACCTTCCAGAGGCCGCGGAAACATTTCGAAAGTGGAGGGGCATTGACCAAAAGGGGCACTTTTGTATATGATCAAAATCAAACGATTTTGTGACGTTCACGAGCCGAACGAAAATTTTTGAAAATATGGAGTCTCTGTAACGTCGGAAATGGCCTTTACAGAGTCTTTACTACTGCGAAAAGGGCACTTTCTTTCCAGAAAAAGAGGGCGTTTATTCATAACATGAGCTCCACCTTGGAATTTACTATGTGAGTAAATTCTTAAACACGTCCGAATTTATCATTATGATATCAATTCGCGGCACATTTTGAATTTATCAATAGAGTTAATCATAAAACCACAAGCATTAGACAAGACTTCTTGTCAAGATTTTCAAAAAATAGTTTTTAGAAAAGTTTTAAAAGAGTTTTAAAAAGCAAAAAAAGTTTAAAAAGTTAGATTTTCAAAAAAGTTAAAAAAGTTAGGGGTTAGTGGTTAGGGGTTAGTGGTTAGGGGTTAGTGGTTAGGGTTGGGGTTAGTGTTAGGTGCCGCGAATTTATTTGATTATGATAAATTCAAAATGTGCCGCGAATTTATCATAATGATAAATTCGGACGTGTTTAAGAATTCACTCATATAGTAAATTCAAAGGTGGAGCTCATGCTGTTTATTCAAGAAATACTTTTTTCGTTCTTTCAGTGGGGCATTTAAGCCCAGAAAAAGGGCACTTTTTTCACTTTTAAAAAAAGTGAGGGCGGGGGCACATGCCCCCATTGCCTCCCCCCCCGGTTCCGCGGCCCCTGACACCTTCAATAGTTTCTTTATCAATGTATTGTTAATAACAATGACAGTATATATGGATCACTTTGTTTGTATCAGGGGCGTCTATAGCTGTATAAGAATATAGATTCTATATATGCACTATAATTCTTATCATAGACGCCCTGGTTTGTATTACTAATCTTGAGTTTGGACGGTAGTTATCGAAGCTATTTTCTCCTAGAATAAATTTGTGATAATATGTGTTCTATTACTTCTAGTTTAGTTGACGTATAGGCTGTAATATATAATTGTTGGGTTGGTCATGAGCATTATTGCGGTGTTATTGTAATTGATCAACACTTTTACAACGTTTGGTTAATTCGATTATATACATGATCATGCAGTCCGGATCATGCATCATATTTTCACCGGACGACCTTGCATGCACCTATTCTTTGTTTGCAATAATGTGACTTTTCATCCAAATGACGGGCAATCAAATAATTTGTGGATGTTTTTTCTCCTATCGGAATGGTTGTAGCAAGAAAAACTGATCGAACGGTAATTCAGTCATCTTTCAGTTGAGTTTTAAACTGTCTCTACACTCGATCAAGTACATTTTTAATTAAAATAGCCGTTTTTTGTTGTACCTGCTCGTCAACTGAAATCCCCAAATTACGTCATTGCATGCGCAAAAAAAACAACACTCAAATTTGTTTCAGCCAACAATGCATGCAGTTCGGTCAATTTTCTCCCAAACGATAACAAATTTCTTGCAATTTATCTGGAATCGGTAAGATTTTCTTAATTTTGGCTAAATAGAATATCCAACCCTTCGTGTTTACTTTCCCTCAAACAAACATTTATCGATATTAATATGCTATATATACGTGCAACGATTAATGGAAAAGATAAATCCCTTTTAATGTGGTTGATGGTAGGCCTACGTGACTTTTTTTGCTATAGGTGAATCTAATAACATCGCTAATTAAACTAAAGCAACATGTCAAACCAATGCATTCAGTTTGAAAGTAAGCTGACGTTTAATTAAAACCCACGAATATTCCTTGTTTGGGTGCAATATATATATATGCATTGTAATTTACATAGATCGTTCCTCCTTGCATAGTATTTCTTTGTCCGACTGCGTATGCCTAATATTAACTCTCATGGGAAAAGGATGTTTCATTGAATCATATATGGATCACTGGGCTTTTGAATTTTCATTTAATTCATATAATTCACATGAATTTCGGACGTTAAATTTTCAAGTGCAAAAACTCACGCAAACTGGCAATTTCCGATTAATTCGCTGTCATCACATACATTCGGTATCTGCAAAGTTTCACGCCTACACCCTACGGGGACATTGGTGAAAAATATTTTCTAATAGAAAGTGATTCTACTAATAGTGTGATGAGAAAAATAGAAAATCGAAGGCTAAATTATATGTATAATATGCTAAGACTAAGTAGGCTATAATATACTTGTTATGTATTATATATATATCAAGGAAATGTTGCTATTCTTGTAAAAATGATTAAAATTGCATAATATGTCCATGTATGTTCAAACAAACATATATAATCTTTACACCATCGCAAGTCATTATATATGCACAAACATAACCTTTATACCACTTTCAATCAGGAACGTGACGCAAAAAAAATTTTCCTTCTCGCGTAACGTAAAACACACCATCCGACTTTGGCAATTTACTAGACTGAACGGAAGATGTCGGGAACAGGATGATATCTTCTGAATCCGGTCTCATTGATGTATTTATTAGGATTGCTGCCTGAAAGAATTGAAAAATAAATTAATCCCGAATAAACATTGCAACATAGCTATAATATGCATGGATAGACTCCATTTCAGGTTGTTATTGACACTATAGGCATAGCAAGCACGTTTAATGACGTATATATGTCTTCACGAATGTAAATATTTTCAAGTTGTTGTAAAGTTGAAGTGAAATTTTTTTTATCATAATCTCAGCAGACAAATTGAAATGTAGTGTAGCTATATAATGATGAAAAAAGTTCACATTTCATTGCAGGTAATATTTCATTTTAAGGAATTAAGCGTAGTGCGCCCAAGTTCATAACGACAATATGAAAAATGCACATTCTGTTGAAAAACGATTTTACTAATTGTAAATTTACGTAATCATAAAACCTGGTTTCCATATGGTCATAACGGTCGTTAAGATTGAGTCGCGATCTTTCTCATCATGCAGCCCGCAAAATACAACATTTTAGAACTGAAAATACGCGGAGTGATTATAACTAAAGAATACTTATGATTTATACAATGTGGTTTACAGGTAGTATGAACATTGAACAGAACTATTACAAACCGGCCGTTGAGAAAGATCGTGGCTCTACTTTACGACCGTAAATCGTAGGTTTTGTACATCTAATATTATATGACTCATATAATTGAACTTTGTTTACATTAAATTTCATCAGATTCGTATAATAAATATGAGAGCCCAACATATAACTTTTAACAAAGCCATTAAAACAGTTTTAAAAGATTGTAAAGAATTTTAATTGTAACGTTTCGTCTTTAACTTAAGACATCTTTAGACTAGATAAAATTACACGAGATGTGAATATATATAAGTATTCATAAAATTAAATATCTCATATTTATTATACGAATTCGTTTTCCGCCTGGCAAATCTCTTGCAACGAAATTTCATCAGAATTAAATTTTATACCCATCCTTCCTTCTGTAGGTTTGATGTTATTTTTACAATTACACATCAACAACAACAACTGGGGTATTGTGTTTTTAGCGTTGGTCACGTTTGAGTAATTCGTGCATAGTAACGAAACAGTCTATAGCAACATCGATCATTTCAAATTCCACTTCCTTTTCCTTTCCGGAACACGTCATCCAAACTTGGTTGTCGGGCGTCATTGAAGGTCAAAGGGCTGGACTATATAATATGCATGTAGGAGTGAATATATCAGATCAGTATCAACAAGAGTCATATAATAAACAAGTGCTCGGAGAAGTAGGCAAGTAGCAATCTAGATATTAAAGTAACTCATACAGTTTACCATGCCGATTGGAAAAGCGAGAAAATGCACAAAGAAGATGAAGACTATATCGCGTTGTGTTGATAAAATCCAAATGAATTTTGCCATTCTTGGTTCAAGTCACAGCGGCAAGACAAGTCTAGTAAAACGTTTCTTGTGTGGGTCCTTCAGTGATGAATATAATCCAACTTCGATGGATGTATTTGAAGAACATTACAGACTCGACGCTACAGATGTTGGTGTCTCTTACCAGATATTTGACATTACTGGTTCCGATGACTTTCCCGCAATGAGACAACTTGCAATCAACTCTGCTGAGACATTTGTTATTGTTTACGCTGTGAATGATCGAAAATCCTTCGAGGATGCCAAAAAGGTGAAAATGGAAATATTAAAGACAAAGGGACGAGGTGAAGTACCTATATTATTGGTTGCAAATAAATGTGATGTCGATCAAGAGAATCATGTCGTCAGCTCTGAAGAAGGTAGAATGTTAGCAAAACACTGGGGATGCCAGTTCGCAGAAACCTCGGCAAAAATTTCTCAGAATATTGACAATTTATTCACAGAACCTATGATTATGATATTAAAACAGAAATATCCAGAACTGGCTACGTTCGGTTGCGATAATGGAGCTTTAGCCATTGCTACTCGATAGTTGAACACTTGCAATACTACAATAGACATCATATTTGTTCATAATTATGTAAAAATGTATATAGAATCATTATTTATGAGAATAATCAGAAATGAATGATAATAAAATAGATAAATACATTGTGTGTAGTTCATGTATGTGTCCCTTTATTATAATTATAATATAACTGTAAGTTGTTCGAAAATCAATTTATATGCACGAAAGTATTTTGAATATAAGTCCAACCTTACAAGTACAACAGAAAGTTATAAAGTGAGCCAACTTAGCTTGCATCACTATGACACAGCTTCAATTGGTATTTACACTACTGACTCGGCTCGGGTGAGGTCTAAAACAAAGATACTTATCACTCTTAGCTAATGCTCAATTTACATCTCGATGGTTTTTGTTCTTTAATTCTTTATGTAATTGAGGAAATTTGAAATGAGAGTCTATATAGCCTAGATTGTTCTTTTAATTAATTACACTAGCCTTGTCCACAGGCATCTCTATAGGGTTAGGGTATAAGGATAGAGAACTGAGGGATAAACTCGCGTGGGAACTTAATAAAGATAAAGCTGAAATACTGATCCACGGCCTGCAGTTAATTTCAGGGAGTTAATTTAGCTCCCAATAGCCGTGGGTTGTTTTGAACCAAAATTATCTCCAAATGTGGAGTAAAATTGGGTTCAAAATAACCCCGCTGGAGTGAAATTAACTCACCGAAATTAACAGTGCGCGGTCTTGTATCGAAATTTTAAGTTCTTGAGTTTGATAAACAAGTTTCATGTTAAATTTATTGAGTCTAATAATTTAAGGCATGTATATATACAGTATATTGTACATTATTTGTGTTGTCTATATAATACTATATAGTCAAAGAGATCACCAGGGAAAAATCTGCAATCAGAGAAATAACACTCATGCATGCAGTAATTTACCGACAGTATTTTAACATAATTCAAGATATATAGATTCTGCTGAATAATATGTTAGTAATTACTTATAAGCCATAGCAACATGCCCGCGCTGTGTTTATCGCTTGTCAAGTGAGTCAAATGTTGCTGATATATAGTTTATCATATCGTTGGAACTATAGTGCGGCTTTAATATAATGATCATTTACACCCCAAGAATTGCCCAATTTTCAAGAGACAAACTACCCCTCCTTGAACCCAGAGTTACTGCAAACATAATCACTATGTCTATATGACTTTCTATGACTTGTTTATGCTGCACTCATGCGTATGCATTGTCATTACCTCGTGCAAGGCTTATGCATTGCATATTTGCATTACAAGCAAAACAGATGACGAAATGGTCATGACTAAACGAGATAGACGAGAGGGTATACTTATCAAATTTAAACACAGATGTTTGCTATAATATCCCAATCGTAACACTAACCTTAAACAAAGCTGCTTTAGTGTTAAAGTTAGTATTAGGAGGCTTTGCCCCCCCCCCCCACCGGAGAAAGTCCGCCACTGATTGGGATAAGGAGTATACGCGTAGTGTAAGGTTTAGGTTTAGGACTGTTTAATACAATTACCCAGTTGTTGATTTTCACAGTTACCCAGTTGTTGAAAACGCCATCGAGATGTCGCACACAAATTATTCGTTCACTCTTTCTTTGTTGTATACATACACGTGAGTCTGCGCACGACCCGTTTTGCCTTTTGTCTTTTGTTATACTTGTGCTTATCTCACTCGTGTGAACCAGGCTTAATTACAATGTATAATATCATACTGACAACACCACCGTCTTCATGGTCGTCAGTGGTGAAGGACCATGAATTCCCTTCAACAACGATCATGAAGAAGATGGTGTCCGGCGGTCAGTATGTTATCATGCTCTAAATCAGTTGTGTATACTGGCATTAAGGCAATTAAGTCTATAAAGACTATAAACGGAGTCATGTGCAGACTCACGCGTATAATAGGAGGTAAATATTTCAGATATTGGACATATTATCCGGATGTGAACAACCATAACAAACTATTTTCGAATACATCACGCAAATAAATTTCATGACGTATACTACATACTTTCTCACAATGAATGAAACAGACAACATAATACCACATCAAAAGAACCCTGTTTTTCAGGAAAAAACACTTGGAATCTGTTTAAATGTCCATACATCTTTTTACATGCCAACTAAATAAAATAATAACAATAAAATAATCATAATATAATAATATTAATCAAATAAAATAATTGATGTTAACAATACTGCAGTCTGTAGACGTTTCACAATTTTTCTTTCTAATGATTTAGTCTTCATACTATGCTTTAATATAATTATTCCCACAAAAGTAATTAAACGTTGGGCTCCCCCAAAATAATAACAATCAATTTTGCATCTCCCCCCCCCCCCTGTAATTTCCTTTGCGCACACTGCGGATACTATTCGTACCTGGGGGGAGGAGTTAATTTTTTACCATTGCAAACTTGTTTCGGGGTGCAGTTGCTCTCAGCGAGAGCCACCCTGCCAAGATATATAAGTATCCTTTCCATAAAAATCGCCAAGACACTCTGGGAGGCTCGTAATTCCTAAGTGATTTCGACCGGAAAATGCTCTTTATGTAACTATAGAAACATGATGACACGAAAGTCTATAATACTATATTCGGACTCCGTTATTAGAGGTATTATCTATGTAGTCAGTTTAGTATATGTATCATATTTGTTCTATCGGTTTCGTTCTAGTCTATAACGATAATCTGAAAGCCACCGACCAGTGGCCATATTTTATGTCATATAGACTAAGCATTACGAGATTGGATTACGCCCCCCCCCCCCCCCCAAATTCTCTTCAGTTTTGGAAGAATTACAAAATTGGCCTGAAGAAAGTGGGGAGGGAATCCCCCATTCTCCCAGTGGGAGATGAATGTTGTTTTTGACATTTAGGCGCGGTCATTAATTCAGAAACGTCAACAACTGAACAAACTAAAGTCCGCCAAATATTGAATTAGTGACTGCGCTTAAATGTCAAAAACAATTGCTACTTAACCTCTTTACGTGAGGTGGTGCGTACCGTGTCACGTAAAACTGCTGTAATACAGTTTGAGAAGGTTAAAATTGGGTGGTATGACTTGTGCTTGAGAAGAGATCTACTAAGCCAATTCGAGTTGCACGCGGTACTAGACGTGAAAATATGTATGTGATCTCCCTTTGTAAACAGATAGAGGACGACGTCTGAAACTCCCATGGATTTTGATTCATCTATTTCATTTCGACATTATGATTAAGGATTATTACAAATAAGGTCATTATACAACTAATTCAAAAAAAGTTGTCCTTTGCAATCAGTTAAACTCTAAACCTTACACCCGTTAAACTCTAAGCGTGCAAAGTATAATGGGAGCATCATGATTTAATCAGTTTAGAAATCATATATGGGGCCCATGCATTTCTTACAGACATGGTTAATATCTATTATCTGGAATATTCAACTATACTATGCTTGAAACTTGTGCTCCCATTAAGCTTTGTGCGCTTAGAGTTTTAAGATTTAAGGTTTAGAGTTTAAGGTTTGCAAAGGACAACCTTTTCTGAATTAGCTGTATATAATAACAGTGTTGGTAAATTCACGCCTCTTGCCTTTACCGGCTGTTCCTAATTGACACTTTCTATCAATAATTTTATCAAAATGCGAAATAGCGTATAGGTATGATGTTTGAATTCGGTAATCGTCATGATGAACAGATAAGATAACTAAGCAAAATTAATATTTAGAGTTTTTTTAATATTTAGATTTGCCAAAGAGTTGCCTGCGGAGGAGGCTATGTAGCTAGAGCAAAATATAACCTGATATTGATAGATGTCCGTTAAATTCACACGGCAACTCTTGTTATAAAATGCCGTCGGTATCTTTACTCCATGGCAATACTAAAACATGCTGGCATATATAGAATTTTGTGGGGGTTTTGATGTGCCGCGGCAATGCTCAATATTCAGTTGTTGACTTCATAATATCTTTATTTGGCCCAGTTGAAAATGTGTCATTATAGATTAATTCTACACCCATTCTCAGTGCAGTGAGAAATTATTTTCAATCTGTCGATGCTGCTTTCCATCGAAATGACTGACTAAGATCAGAGTCGATTAAGATTTAAAACACTGTCAAAAGTTTGGCAAAGACTAAAAATCAGATCGGCCAACAGGACTTTCTACGGAAGAAGTACTTCAATTAGTATAATAAATCACCGGTCTATTACAGATCTCCCAAGTCCGCATTCTGTGTGAGACACATACTTAAACTTTTAAGGATTTCTCACGCTCCGCCCAAAGAAAGGAATTTCTCACACATTTTACAAAATGTATTAACTTTGTTTAGTTGTACGTGTCAAAAATTAGTAGAACATTAAAAACACAACAAAACAAAACTTAATTTTATATGTATTCTAACCAGTATTCTAACTATGTATTCTTGGAACATCCCGATTGTCTTCCTGACTTCCCACCACAATATATAGCACACAAAACCTGATTTGTAAATATGATCGGAAGAATGACCCTCAAATCACCCATTGCATGGAATCCACGGTATTAAAAGTCTTATGCCAAAGTGAAAACCTGCACAATTAAGTGCCGGCTGTGCCGCTCTCTCTCATTTTTAACTCGCAACATTGACAAGGTCTGTTATTGGTATGCCGATCAATCACGTACTACAGATGCAACTGTACTGAGACTCGATCTGCATTCCGGATTGTTCGTTTTGACTTTAAAGAAGGCATTGATATGATCGATCATAATATTTTAGTATTTTACTGACAGATCGAGATTTTCCGGCGTATCTTAAACTGTCTATATATATGACGACGGAAAAGCTGAGGTTTTGCCGTAATGTTGATGATCAATGAGATTGCAATCAGGCGAATCTAGATTTGTGTAGACGTGATCACAACAGGTCGTTACATACTGACCACTGTCCGGATCGGAAATAATTAACAAAGATCTGTTGGTCCTGTTACAACTGATTAATTAAAAAATACCCCAACCGAGGGACATTTACTAGAATTTAAGTTGATATAAACGTACACTTTTAAGAATGACAAGTAGGCTAATGATTCAAGCTCACATTGACAAGACAACTGGCAAAGTTCCAAAACGAAATTTCTTTCTCGTTATTCAACAAGAACATGATATGCATCAAGGCGAATATATCAATATTAAATTATTAAAGTTGTTTAAATCAGTAATCTTCCCTTTCAATCTGAGAAGCAAGTAAGTAAATCTTTCTAGAATAAACTTGTCAAATTTGTTTGCGCGAAATGGCATAAGCCATTTGCATCCGTGTTGTATCGGATGAGTACAAACTCTGATGCACCTTCGGGCCTAGTATGCATCTGATACAACACAGTCACTCATGTTGCGGAAATAAAATCATGCTGATTTACACTATGATAAACTTTAAGTTCAATTTTCTCACCAAATATCATTCATTTCAATTTTGAATTGTTGAAGAATACGAATGTTCTCATCAAGAGCAGACGTTTCACCTAAGTGAAGCGTAAGACCAACTTCGGCGTGACTAAAGTGTAGAATTGGTTCGCTAACTAACTCAAAACCAATCACAGTGCCGAATTTAATTTCAAGATTTAATACACAAGGCTGAAGAAGCTGATTCAGAGAACTCAAACAAGGAACTGAAAGCTTGCCAAGTGCCAGAATAAACAAAACACACCCTAATAAATATTACATGGGCAAGTCACGTTCAAGCATCAAAATTTGAAGCTATAGTCAGAGCTATATATACGGCTTACAAACTCGTTTGTAATTGCATCAATATATCATGAATGGTTAATATAGATTTACTTTTTTCATATGAAAGCTGCGGATTCAAGATACGGATACCGGCAACTACCAGACAATACAAGGAACATAGGTGTACGGGACTGATGCTTTCCAGAGGGGCAGTTGAAAGTTTGTCCGACTTTTTATGGAGAATTGTAATGAAATAACCAGAAAATCTGTTCGAATTTTCTTGATTTTTCCTAGATTTGCCCGAATTTCCATGGTTTTTCAATGTTTTTTTGTTTGTTTTTTTTTGTTTGTTTGTTTTTTGGGGGGGAGGCAGTTGCCCCTCTCGAGTACGCCTATGAGACAGGGAGAATTCGACGTTGCGAGCAAATTAAGTCCCATTCGTTAGCCAGTCCGAAGTTAATGAGAAGCCTGGAACCGAGTGGTTTTTGTATTGCATAATTATGAGGAAATGAACTCAACCACTGGAAAGAGCAACTCAAAGTCAGTACTGTAGGCATACATGCAATATTTGACCACATTTGGACATAAATACAGTACGATTAATACTGAGCTTTAACGAATTACTGTGAAATGTATGGAGATTTGAGGTTTTAGGACGTCCGTCCCCAAATACAATGTATCTTAATATCTGAGTACCCAATTTCCCAAATTTTCCCATTTGTATTGATCTATAAAATTAATGTCGATAGCATGCCAAGCTGGGTTACCTTTTTTGCGATATGTAAAACTAACTCCGTAATTTGCGGATTGTCATTGTCATTGATCTTTTCAAATATATGTTATGATTGTGCACATTTATAGGTTATCTATTTGGAATTGCCAATTAGAAAACGCCACTAACGTTTTAGTTTTGCCGTATTCAATTAAAATATTTTAGCTTTGGCATTTAATTATTACCAGTCATTTATGTGTTTATAGTGATGTTATTGCAGTGGGTGGATTATAGAATTCAATAGTTACAACGCTAAACCAATACTCAATAGTGTCAATTGCTTTTGAAGTAGAAATTGAAACCAACTTCCTGCAAGTAGAAGGAGTTATATAAGAACCACTTCAGCCTGTCGCCAAGTCATATATGGCTCTTTTACTGATGAGAACTTCTTACTATAGATGAGTGTGGTAGTTTTTTCATCGAAAATGATTTTTACTTTTAAAATTATAAACATTTTTATGGTAATACGTTGTTTATCTGATTGCAAGAAAGTATGTGTGTACGTCATTAAATCTATTTTTGTAATGTACTTCTTTGTCTTCATTGTTGACATTGTATTATTGTCTTAGAAAGGAAGATCGAGAAAATTTTATTTTGATTGTTCACACCGAGCAATAGCTAAAATGTTTGCCTCCCACACTTTATTTGTTGACTATTTCATTGCTTTATACATGAGGCTATAGTTACGTACCCTACTATATATACTGTAATTATTCGGTACAGTCAAAGGCCGAATATGATAACTGGCTTCTCTTTAAGACCTTTAATGTTGGCTTTGACAAAGAACTTTTTTGACCGTTTTGGATGAAATTTGAATCGTAGGGGAATTCTTTGTCTGATTCCTCCAACTGGCGACGATGACGTATCTTGTACACCATATGTCTGCAGCAGTTCACTGGTCTGCAGACACCCCCAACATAAAACAATTTAAATATACTGTTCTAGCCTATTCTTGAATACTTACAAGTTTATACAAGTCCTCATATAATAACAATGAACAGTGAAAATTATATTATATACTATTCAATACCACTACATAGGTGGGCTAACGTGATATACAGTATACTGCATGTATCTGTGCCAAGTTATTACCTTTTATCTTTAACCTGACTTATTTATAAGTTTTATGTATCGCATTTTCGCTTAAAATACCGAATTTCGTAAGTAAAAACATGCAAGTTGTTACAGACCCGCCCCAAACAGCCAGATTGTTCCAACAAGCCGATTATATAAAGATGAAGGCACAGATGAGAGTCTCCCAAGCCCAAGTCTCCCAGGCCAAGGCCCAGCGCTCTTTTTTTGCAATGGGAACGGGAACAATGCCGACAAACTCATAAGCCTAAGGAACAAGAGAACATGGTAGTGAATGTGGGGGACAAGGCCAAGGGGGGACAAAGAAAAACTTTTTCAAGTTAACACAGAAACGCGCCCCCCTCCCCCGAGACCTTCAAAGATGATAACTCCACAAACCCAGTAACGGCAGCAACTTGGTGACATCTATGTACTGCCCTAGCGCTATAGCCTCCTCCGCAGGCATCTCTTAATCGTCGAGGACTTATATAATTTAGTTATTCAAATAACTGATTCTAAGTCACTGAACTATATAATAGAACTGTATATAGTTCACTGTTCTAACAAATTTGAACAAATCACTCTATCGCATTCCCATTAAGCCCCACGCTCCCCTGCCTCGTCCCCAGTCGCTTGCTATCAAATAATTAATTAGGAAAAGACGAAAATTAATGGGGGCGCGCGGACTTAGTTGCGGGCGTGCGCCTAAAGGCGTGCGTCTTTATCGGGCTTGCAGTGCACGCGCTGATCTATATATTACCGATATTTAAATTTGATCTATATCAGGGCGAAGGGAGAGAGGGCGTAGAAACGGCCATACATCGAGCGGACCCATCCGTGATGCGGGCTTCGCGGGGGGTAAGACGTTCTAATTGTAAACAAATAAGGCTACGCGTATATGACCCATCAGAAGGTATGCTGAAACTATTGCTTTATAAAATATTACTTGCGTAAAATTTATATGCTTTTGTTACTTTTAGCTACTATAAGAAACTTTATTTCGAGTGTTATTTTATTTCTTTACTCTGTTTAATTTGGTGTTTAAAAATGGCCGTCGAGATGTTGTAAGAGAGTGTTAGCGCGCACTGCTTCCTGATAAAAACCCAATGATTTCCAAAACCTAAATTATAATTTGTTATTAAGTTATGATGAAAACCTTTGCGTAGACAAAATTATAGAGTGATCAAATATGAGACACAAAGTTCGATGTCGAATTGACAGTTGAAATAGTACCAAACTCCAAGCTGAAATGTGCAACTTTATCGTGTATATTTTTGTCAATTTTGTTTACTGGCCTTTGTTAAATTCACTTGCAATGGCTCGACATAAGTTACAACATACAAACTGAGCAGAGCCCATGAAAAAGCAATCCATACCCCTACAGTCATTCAGCTTCCTTGCTATTTAGAAGTGCATGGTTGCCCATTAGTCGAAGAATTGCTATTGTATGCGCTTGTTTGCACTTCCTTTCCTAAAAAAAGTCTACAATATTAAGGCTAAATAGCAGAAAAATATGACCCAATAATCCATGCAATTAAAAATATCTATCAAATTAACTTCAAAAATCATGACCATATATCTTAATATCTATTCAGGCAACCCATAATTTAGTGACAGGTCTTGGCAAGGTGAAAGCTGAAAGGAACCCTTAAGATGGGTGTACTACAAAACTATATTGACTGAAGTTTTGGAAACATTTAACTAAATTTTGAAGGATTGACTTGCAAACTGTGATTCAGTATCATGGAATTTTACACTTCTGGAGAAGTTGTGGCTCTGTTAGTGCCATTTCTTTCATTGTTTATATATCTTGCTTTTAAACATTGCTCGCTTATAAAATCTTTCAATTCCTTAGGGCCTGTTTATATGATCCCGCCTAGATGGGACGGGACGTTTTCATCCCGCCAAGACAGGATACTCGCCTAGTGTTTATATGGACAAAATACATTGCCGGGATGAAACCATTCGGTGCTTGACGTCATATTTTTGTTGCAATAAAGGCATTTACGCATGCCCAAAAGGGAAAAATTCATTCCGCCTAACCGGGATGAAGTGTTTATATGGGAATTTTTCATCCCGGCTAGGCGGGATAAAGTGTTTTTATATGGGAATTTTTCATCTCGCTTAGGCAGGATCCCGGCATCTGTTGCCGAAATCCAGTCTAGGCGGGATAAGTGGCAGGATCATATAAACACTCTTTAGCATTTGTATTACAAGCGGGATCTCGGTAAGCATCCCGTCCCGCCTGGCCGGGATCATATAAACAGGCCCCTAATCTCATCCCATGATACTGAATCACAGTTTGTAAGGCCCCATTTACATGAGACCAGGATGAAACCAACCTGGAATGAAAATTGAAATTGCATGTCAACATGTTTACATGAGACCAGTATGAAAATCACAAAATTTTCAATTTATTCCCCTTGCCAGGCAATTTTCTTTTTTAGATGACTTTTGTTAGCATGTGTTGTTCACTTGTTCCAATGTCAACATTCATTCCAGTCTGAATTCATACTGGTCTGACTCAGTCGGCTTGGTCCAGCAGGCGGAATGACTTGAGACCTCATGTAAACATCTATTATATATAATCTAATGACCAAAACGAAATGGTCCCGGTTAATTGACTTCGTTCCAGTCTCATGTGAACTGGACCTAATAAAATCCTTCAAAAGTTGGCTAAATTTTTCCAAAACTTCAGTCAATATAGTTTTGTAGTACACCAATCCCAAGATCTGTCACTAAATTATGGGTTGATTGCCTGAATAGATATAATTCCCAAATCATGATTTTTGAAGTTAATTTGATAGATATTTTTAATTGCATGGATTATTGGGTCATATTTTTCTGCTATTTAGCCTTAATATTGTAGACTTTTTTCAGAAAAGGAAGTGCAAACAAGCGCATACAATAGCAATTCTTCTTCAACTAATGGGCAACAATTTCTAAATAGCAAGGAAGCTGAATGACTGTATGGGTATGGACTATGGATAGCTCTTTCATGGGCTCTGCTCAGTTTGTATGTTGTAACTTATGTCGAACCATTGCAAGTGAATTTAACAAAGCCAGCGAACAAATTGACAAAAATATACACGATTTAGTTGCACATTTCAGCTTGGAGTTTGGTACTATTTCAACTGTCAATTCGACCTCGAACTTTGAAAGGTTCAAAACCTATCTGTCTCATGTTTGCTCACTCTATAATTTCGTATACGCAAAGGTTTTCATCATAACTTAATAACAAATTATAATTTAGGTTTTGGAAATCATTGGGTTTTTATCAGGAAGCAGTGCGCTAACACTCTCGGACAACATTTCGACGGCCATTTTTAACCACCAAATTAAACAGAGTAGGCTATATAAATAAAATAACACCCGAAATAAAGTTTTTTATTACTTAAATCTTATCTTTAAGTTTCTTATAATAGCTGAAAGTAACAAAAACATATAAATTTTACACAAGTAATATTTTATAAAGTAATAGTTTCAGCATACCTTCTGATGGGTCATATACGCGTAGCCATATTTGTTTACAATTAGAACGTCTTACCCCCCGCGAAGCCCGCATCACGGATGGGTCCGCTCGATGTATGGCCGTTTCTACGCCCTCTCTCCCTTCGCCCTGGTTTCGACCTGATTTATTTGGAGGTTCGTATCTTTGGTTCAATATACGCTATGTAGATGAAATTACCACCGTTCGATTCAATACAAAAATATCTCCTAGTTTCTATCGGTAGTTTTAGTGAAATGTCAACACTATAGCGATTTATGACCTTTGAAAGTCAAGCGGGATTTTGTATATTAATATCAAATCACGCAATGTTTACACTATACTGATATATAAATATAAACTATTACTGATATATAAATATAAACTAGGCATACCTTTCGGCGAACATATCACTTCGGCTCCTTGGGACGCATCCTCTTTGTATTACTCTTGTTCGAAAGCGAATTCAAAACACTACTTAGAGTGTTATTTTTGAGCTTGTATCTTGAAAACATCATCTTTTATTATGGTATTTTCATTCCTGGTCTGATTGTGAACTAATTTCCAAACATCAGCGTGTGACAGGCGCGTGCGACTGTGCGAGTAAAAACCCGATATTTTGAAAAATTAAAATTAAATATTTCTACTGGCCGTATTCAAAAAAAATTTTCTAAACGAAAGCGCCTGAATACAAGGAGTATTTTACTTCTTTGACTGGTCGCGAATTCCGAAGAATTCAAGAAATATTCAAGTTTTTTCGATACGAAATACAGAATGTTTGGCCAAGCGGTGAGTAAAATATACGATTGTTTACTTTGTGTATTAAATGTTAAAAAATAGTACTTTTGACCATCCACAAACATGCAAGCACTAGTCAATGAGGTCAATCAATCATGCATTAAATAATGATTTAATTTTTAAAAAGACGTTTCTTGTTTAGCTTAAAATCACCTTTTGTTTCGATGTTTACACTTTGTCCCACTTTGCGATGCAAATCGTGCAGAGGCTTCGCGCCTTCCTTCGCCTTTCCCTTTGCCGCCTGCGCTCCTTCGTCCAGCGGCTACGCTCGTGTTCCAAGATCCGCCATGTAAAGTGTAGTGAAATGTATCTCGTCGTAATATTAAATCCTAAGAAAACTAAAGCCTCTGCGGAGGAGAGAGACGCAGTACTAAAATATATACGGTGCCTTACATGTAAAACTTCCGGCTTACATTTAGTACGCTACATTCTTCTGTACGCCGCCAGTTGGTCTGTACGCTTGAATTAAACTGCGCTTTAAAACCTTCAAAATAAAATATTTTGGGGCTTTTGGTCTCAAGAGAAAAGAGACGAATCCACTGGTACACGCCGAAAAAGAGAAAACCAACGATACCAAAGTTATCAAGGATCAAACCTACTGCATTTTTAATAATTGGTTTAATAATTTTGAGCGGTTTGTCAACAATACAATTTCACTAGCTGCCATGGCTTTCAAAGACAAACGCCATCAATCGCTGGGATACTGTTGTTTAGTAATACATTTGACATCCGTAAGTACAATTTCCTACGCTGAATCGAACGGTGGTATTTTTATTCTTATTGCGCCAATAGGAAATACAAATACAAGGACAAACGTATTGCGAGTGATTTGTCACTACAGTACGTACTGTGCGCAGGGGCGGATGCAGGGGGTGGCAAGCGTGGCTTGAGCCACGGGCAGATTTATGCGATCGTCATATTCTCTAACATGTCTATAAGGACGAAGCGATCGTTATTTATACATATAAACGCGTCCCAAACCTTTTAAAATTAAACAAAAAATATACTCCCATCGTTACATCTTACTGTTATTTGATTTGTAACAAAATCGCGAAATAAAAACGTGAATATCTCAAAAGATGTAATTCCCGAGCTGTAAAAGGTCCAAAACCTTGGGAAAACCCCTCAGAAACTCCTGTGGAGGAGGTAGGGAAAACCCCTCACTTGCTGAATGTTGAATGTTTGCTACGACGATAACCGAGAACTACTCGAAGTTGATCATTCTATTTTCGGAAAATGTTCGTAAAATGCGACTGCGATTTTGAGCAACGGTACGCGGTTCTGATGTTACTAAATATGGTAACTTCTTGCCACTTTGAGGCACGGTGCAGCGTGTCAAGCCAATCACAGGCCGAGATTTTATCATGTGAGACACGGTGAGCCTAGCCTCCTCCGCAGGCATCTCACTGAGGAATCGGGTGGTGAGAAAAAGTTTGGTGAGATGCCTGTCATAAATCGACACAAAAATTTACACTGCGCATACCGGCTCGCGCATGCAAATTTCGACAAACTCAAACTTAGGGGGAGTAGGAAGGGCTTGCGGCAAGCAGTGAAGAAATTTTTGTTTTCAACACGATGGCTTAAAAGACGAGTAAAACTATAAAATTAACGAATAATCCTTCTTTTTAACATTGTATATACGCAGGGAACTTTGAATAAGGAGCTGATAACGTTATCGTCACCCGAAACGGCGATTTAGTGGGATTATTTAGAGACAACGAGTGATTTTCCAGAGCAGTCAAATATTCACGTTGCCGTCGATTCATGTCAAGACAGGGTTTTAAGTGAAAGTTTATCGCTGATATATACATATTTCTACTCAAATTGTCGTCTACATTTTATATGATAATAAGCGGAAAGTGCAGTGATTTAGTCGAAACTATAACACGAAAAGGAACGAGCAAAAATTGTCAATATTTATTCAACTGTTGACATATCTGTGACTGTGGTAATATACTAATATGTACTTCTTGTCTTGTAACATTGTTTTAATACGCTTGTATGGAAGGAAAATCGTTAATAAAAGTTTTCTTATTGCGGAATACACTGTTCAATTTATCCCTTGGCCTTGGAAAAGGACAAAGTTTTCAAACTTGAGTGTCTCAGATGTGGCAAAAAATTATTAAACAGCAAACGCTTTCTTAATTAAGTCAATACTCAATAGCCCTGTTTTAACTTTTAATATATGGGTGTGAGGTGCCTAGACATAAGGGAAAGGACAACTGGAATTTAATAGGAATCTAATAGATTTCCAAGTGACGGTTTATGTGGTGCAACAGAATATAAAGACCTGTCTTAATAACATTTGGCTTGGATTTGTTAACCAATGGAGGCATTAATACATTCCATTTTGCTTGCCAAGTTCGCAGGCAAAATATTTGCATGGATAAAATCCATTTTGGAAGGCAAATTTCCCTGTAACAATCAGTCACTGAGGAAACGTCCCAGTGATAGCTAGTGTTTTGCTATTGTTAAATTACACAGCAACCACCCTGATAATAGCCTTCCAATGGTGGCTATATATTAACTGTAAGCTGTGACAAGTTTACAACAATGAAACAGAATACATTTGGTAAGCTTTAGATTAACTCATTGTCTGCACTCTCCCACTGAAGAGTAAAATTATCTGATGTTAGACAGAGTAAAAGCAGGCACGCCCCTGCCAGGGAAGAGACAAAGAGGGCTTGTTGTGTGTATAGGGGCATTATTGGGTCTTACGTGATATACATGCCAATCAAGAGTTACTATATTTTAAAGCAATATATGTCAAGAGCAATTTTATTTGAGCATGGACAAGGAAGATACATATAATTAGAGAATATGCCAGTGCCATAGCAAGCTCGATAATTGGGGGGGGGGGCTCATATTCATATATTCGTGTTCACAGACCATAAAAACAATCGATTTCAAAAGAAATTAATAACGCAGAACACGAGTATATGAATATGAGCCCCCCCCCCATTATCGAGCTTGCTACGGCACTATATGCAGACACACAAATTCCTGTATTTATCAAATCATGGATGTCAGTAAGTGTAACACAAGTAGGCATATACAGTACTATATTAGAAAGAGGTTGTCACATGCCAACTGCTTTTCACCACAGGGTTGGCAGGTCAGATGAATAATTAGGCCAAATCGTCATTAGTGCCATTTAGAAAACAAAGAAAAGAAAAGGCCTAGTGTGACTGTGTTTGGCCTAATTATTCAGCAAACCTACCAACCCTGTTTCACCAGGTTTAGCATATTTACATGATATTAAAGCCATTAAAGGGGTGAGGGGAGTTCAAATATTTAACTATTCACCTGAGTGAAGCCTAGTTCACAAATACTGTCATATGCTGGCAGGTTACCAGTTAAACCAAATAATTCACAAAAGAATGTATGCATCAATCTCAGGCATATTAAATAATAATATGGTAGGCATATGTAATGCAGGCTTTATAAGGTGCCAACAAAATTCTACAGTTAGTTTATATTTCCAAGTTGCAGTCACTTATTGAAATGGTTGCTTCAACAGAAAGATCTTTTCCTTTTATACGTCATTTCACTGAGCATGTTGCCAAATGCCTGATGATTTGACTATTGAAAAAGTATAGTAAAATATAAATCAGAATGGCAACACAAAATATTATTCCAGAAAACAATACAATTTAATATAATCCCTTTATTAAACAAATTATACCTTTCTTATCGTTCCATTCTTCGTTTTGCGTTCGAAATTATGCCAGATAATTTCCTCAAATTCAGAAATTGTAATTCCTCGGCTGAACAATTTATACATTTAATAATTGTAAACATTTGGCTGCTTTGAGCGAGCGATTCAGAATTTGCACGTCTTCTTATACCGCGAGGGACATTGCGATATATAATTCAGGATATATTAAATGCTTTCAATTGACCAATTAATTTTCGTATAACTTGAATATTTCCACGCATTATAAAACATTTTTAAAGTTTTTTAGTACGTGCAAGTTTCGCTCCTCGCCCGAAGATTT